CTAACATCAAAATGGTTTCAAATGGACTTGGATACTTATATGGTCATTCTTCACTTTGTTTAGAGATACTTAGGTCAACATCAGAGCATGCCTCTTAGTCCTGGAGCAGACTTGTCAAAAAAGTGAGTTTCAGTCATGTGCTATTCAGACATAAGTCAGCATGTCCAATTGATACCATTTAAAAGCATTTCTCCCTTTAAATCTATTCCATCCTTCCTGACTTGAACGCTGCACCAAGTGCTCTTTAGAGAACCCTGATTACAATGAAGAAGTCTTGGGTGGTTCATGGGCTCAAAGTAAAAATGTGAAAACACCAGGAAAGCATAAAAGATGATGTCCTGAAGGTGGTATTAAGAATAAAACCCAGCATGTCTATGGCAGTTTCCAGTATTTGTGATGGAAACTTTAACACCCTTCAAGCTTTATTTAACCAGAAATTCACGGACAGCTCACACCTGTGGTTCTCAACTGGTGGATCGGGACTCATAGGCAGGTGATGGAGCAGTTTTCAGTGAGTTGCAGATGCCTGCCGGAAAAATGTGCCAAAAGTTTCTGCTGCTTATTATTGTCATGCACGTGTTTCCAATGGCATGACGCACTTGCAATAGAAGAATTTGATTTATTTTTTTGTAAAATGGGACAATACGCATTAATGAACATTTACATGTAACAGAAGGCTAGCGGGACATCTGTGTAGGTTCTCAGTCATCCAGGTTTTGGTTTATCAAGGGTTGCTCCTGAGGGGCAAATGGATGATAACTGAGGGGGGCATCGCAACGCATCTAGGTAGTTACCAGCTACTGAATAACAAAGTCCAGACTATTTTGCTGCTCTTATCATATGGTTTATACAAGGTCAGGACACCAGTTAGGTTCAACAGTTTAGTTACCCACCCATCGCTGAGACTTTAGTCCTCAAAGCAGCATGACTTTCCTCACACTTTCTTCCAAGTTTGGGTAGGTCCTGGGGCTTGACCAACCAAGAGGCAAGGGGTTGAATGCAATTAAAAAGTACCTTTAAATTAAAAAAATAAAACGCATTTGATAAAGGTTGAATTTTAAACGCAGGCTTTTGCACCATTATCATCAGTGTGAAATATCAAGTCCCTTTGAAGTTCTCTTAAAAGACAACCACAGAGAGTACCATAAAGAATAAAACAGTCCAACACCTATGAGACAGATTTACTTTCCTATTTATTTAATTACTGTGCTGATTCAGGCTTTACATGGGCTGTCTACACAGATTTACAGTTTTCATTTCAACATTGCAATAAGAAGTATGCATGTTAAATTCAACACTTTGTTAAATATGTTTTTTATGGTGTGTTGCAGAAACTAGTAAATGAGATGCAAAATAATAATGATAATAATACATCTAAATAAAAATGACGAGCAGTCAAACAACAGAGAGGTTCATATGAGTTTTCTGCCCCACTGCTGATTCAACATTCTCAAACATCACAGGTATGTCCTCTTTAGTTTTGGTCCATAGGTGTCACATCTAAATTAGCAGGTCTGGGTCGTCATAGCTTCTCTGTCCTCTGGATTTTACCTACACAGATTGAGAATAGTGATAATCAGTTGTCACAACAAGCTCCATGAGTTTTCCCACAGCACTTTGACCAGGAAAAAGGAGAAGGTGAACAAAAATGCATGTGTGCCTCTTGCAGGAATTGTAAATTGACTGGGATGTAACACATGAACATGCTGTGTAAACATAGAGCGGTGCAACTCTATACAATCTATGAACTTTAGGACAGAAGGTGGCCTCTCAAAGTCCAAAGTCCAGGATGTGGACCTGGGCAAACAAGTGGACCTGAAGCTTGCTGGAAAGGGTGTGGATTCGGCTGAACTCAAATCTGACTGAGGGGAAGGAACTTCTGATAGTAGCTTTTGGTTACGTCAATCATCAGGTCCTGTGTGCACTCTGGGAGCTCCCCTGAGAATAGACCTAAGAGATTGAGAGAATTTTAGGTAAAGGTTTGTAAACAAAAAGTCAGATGTTTAGAAGCTTGTGTTTGTGTGTTTAGGGGACCTGGGCATCCAGAGAAGACAGTGAAAGGAGGTACCACGGTCTCAGGGGGGAGCACAGTGTTGTCTAATATCTTGCAGCAGTCTTTCAGCACACAGCGACGACCCTGTTCACACAAACACAACAAAAAACAATTGAACTGTAATCATTTGATCATACTTTGTGTGTTGAGGAACTTTTAGTTTGGATCAATTTTGGCGCCCCCTGTGGACAAAGCAGTCTATGCTTAATTTTTTAAACTTTACAAAACAGACTGAAATTAAATTTGATGCCTATTTATGGCATAAAAAAGCAAACCAGACCATAAACAACAAGACTAATCATTTTTATACTAAAACTTTAGAGACCTCAAACCTCTGTGAGTTATAAAGTCTAATGGCTGTTGGTACAAAAGATCTTCTGAATCTTTCTGTCCACCACCATTTGCCCTTTGGTCCATTAAGGTGTTGTGAAGTGGGTGATCCATGTTCTTCAGAATAGTCTCCACCTTCCTCAGTGTAGATCTCTCCACCACATCCTCCACTGAGTCCAGCTTGAGTCCTACCACAAAGCTAGCCTTTTTCACCAGTTTGTAAAGACGTCTTGCATCTTTGTGTCTGATGCTGCCTCCCCAGCAGACTGCAGCGTAGAACAGCACACTTGCCACCACAGACTGATAAAACATCTGCAGTATCTTACTACACATGCCTATTGATCAGACTCTTCTCAGGCAAAAGAGGCGGCTCTGCCCCTTTCTGTAGATGAAGTCTATATTCTTAGACCAGTCCAACTTATTATTCAGATGTACACCTAGGTATTTATATGATATCACCACTTCGATGTCCACTCCACAGGTGTTCACTGGCTGAAGAGGTGGTTTGGATCTACGGAAGTCTATGACCATCTCCTTTGTCTTTGAGGTGTTGGGGAGGAGGCCGTTTTTGTGACTCCAGTCACTGAAGGCTCCTATTAGATCTCTGTATTCAGCTTCTTGTCCATTTCTGATAAATGCCACAATAGCGATGTCATCTGAGTATATCTGGATGTGGCAGGACTCAGTGCTGTATTTGAAGTCTGACGTGTACAGTGTGAACTGGAATGGCACCAGAACTGTCCCATGTGGAGCCCCTGTACTGCTCATTATTGTCCCAGAAACACAGTTCCCCAGCCTGACAAACTGTGGCCTTCCTGTCAGGTAATCTGTGATCCAGGAAACACAGGAAGGATCCACTCCCATCTCTGTGAACTTGTCTTTAAGTATGGTGGGTTGGATGGTGTTGAATGCACTGAAAAGTCGAAGAACATGATCGTGAGGGAATCCAGTTTGTCTTTGACCTCAGACCTCAGAAGGCGTAGAATCAGTCGCTCCAGGGTTTTATATACATCCATATAGATCCATATACACACAGTCATAGCCCAAAATTGTTCATACCCCTGGCAAATTTTGACTTAAAGTTACTTTTTTTCAACCAGCAACTTTTTTTATTAACTGGAAATGACACAGGCATCTACCAGAAAATAATAAGACGATGTACAAGAGGCATCATTGTGGAAAGAAATATTTCAAAGCTTTTAGTTACATTTGAACGAAAAATGGCACGTCCAAAATTATTCATACCCTTCTCAATAATCAAAAGAAAAGCCTTTATTGGCTATTACAGCAATCAAGGGCTTCCTATAATTACTGACCAGCTTTTTGCATGTCTCCACTGGTATTTTCGCCTATTAATCTTTAGCGATGAGCTCCATCACTTTCAGGTTGGAGGGCCTCCTTGCCATCACCCTGATCTTAAGCTCCCTCCACAGATTCTCTATTGGATTCAAGTCAGGACTCTGGCTGGGCCACTGCAAAATGTTTTTGTCTGCTAACCATTTCTTTACTACTTTTGCTGTGTGTTTGGGGTTGCTGTCGTGCTGAAATGTCCACTGGTGCCCAAGGCCAAGTTTCTCTGCAGACTTCTTGATGTTGTTGTTGAGAATCTTGATGTATTGTTCTTTTTTCATGGTGCCATTTACTGTGATTAGGTTCCCTGGTCCATTGACTGAAAAACACCCCCAAAGCATTAGGTTCCCACCACCATGTTTGACAGTGGGGATTGTGTTCTTAGAGTTGAAGGCTTCTCCTTTTTTACGCCAAATGAAGGCTATATCATTGTGGCCAGTCAATTTTTTGTTGACACACAATTTTTGTTTCATCTGACCACAAAACTGGAGGCCAGAAGTCTTCTTCTTTGTCTAGATGAGCTTTTGCAAAGGCCAAGTGGGCTTTTGTGTGCCTTATCTGGAGAAGTGGCGTCCTCCTTGGTCTGCGTCAGTGAAACCCTGCAGTGAGCAGTGTCCGTTGGACTGTCTGCCTTGAGATGTTGCCACCAGCAGAGCCCAGATTCACCAGGATGGCCTTGGCGGTGATCCTTGGATTCTTTTTCACCTCTCTCACTTTCCTCCTGGCCAGCACAGGTGTCACTTTAGGCTTCCGACCACGTCCTCTGAGATTTTCCACAGTGCAGAATGTCTTGTATTTTTTAATAACACTTTGCACAAGGCATTAAACAATTGCAAAATAAAAGCCATTCATCTTGCTGAGAGAATCGGATGTTCTTGTTTGCTTTTATATATCTTAAAAAGGCACTGATATGAGTTATAGTCTATTTCATGATTTTGCTTTCAGTATTTCAGTAGATTTCAGTATTTGCACTGCTAGAACACGTATACATAAACACATATAGCCGTATGTTTATTTCAGTGTTATTTTCGGAACAATCAATCAATAAAAAAAACAAAAAACAATCCATTTTTTTTGTACGGTGACTGTCATGTGTGGCCAGGATTGCTCCTTTTCTCTTTCTCTTCTCTCTCTCTCTCTCTCTCTCTCTCTCTCTCTCTCTCTCTCTCTCTCTCTCTCTCTCTCTCTCTCTCTCTCTCTCTCTCTCTCTCTCTCTCTCTCTCTCTCTCTCTCTCTCTCTCTCTCTCTCTCTCTCTCTCTCTCTCTCTCTCTCTCTCTCTCTCTCTCTCTCTCTGGTCTCCTGTGCAGGTAGCAGACGGAAAGCACACACAAAGACACACACACACACAAGCAGCAGTTTGTAAGGAGTCCTAATGCCACTGAACTTTTTCAGTTTTTCCTCCCCACGGGTTCTTCTTGAACCGGCATGTATCATTGTTCGTTCTTGTTGTTTTAGTTTGTTATTTTAGTCTGGGCTGGAGACCACCGGTTGTCCATTTTTCACTCTTTTGTTTAACGCAGGTCCCAGTGGGCAGTGGCAATTGAGTTTGTGGGAGGTACTGATGTGACAATCCATTGCACGGCTGGGCAAGCACCTTTCCCTTTGAGTTCATTTTGTTGTTTTGTTGTTTTTTTGTTTGTCTGTGCTTAGTGGTTTCATTTTGGAAATCAAGCCTGTGGGATTAACCTTTCATTCGTTTGTGGTGTCCTCTTTGATTAAACGTTATGGTCTCTTTTTATGGGTTTTTGGGTTAAGTTATTAAGTTAAGGAGGCCGTAACGCAGACAACACTCATGCATTTAACAAAAACTACACACTTAAGTCAGCAGAGGACAATTTATCACTAATCAATCTTTGCCAGTATATCTGTTTCAAATATTCAACTGTTAAATCCACCATTGTTGTGATAATGAATTGTAATCTGGTTCTGCTGAGCAAGTCTACCAAACTGTAATAACATATTCTAAGTATGAGTCAGTGCAAGAGGCCGCATGCAAATAGCTTACTGCTCACTCATGACCACCATGTGACTGATTCTCCTCGGGCAAGAGAAGACACTAGCTCTGGTGATGTCCTCTAAAACTGAAGCTGAGCTATATTTTCCCAGCATGCCTTTCTTCTTGGGATTAGATAAGTGTTGTATGTTTTGTGCGTCTTTTCATCCCACTCACTATGACACAGTTCTTGCCAATGTGGACATAGGAACCAATCTGGGCTGCGTTGACGACACAGTCTTCCTCGATGAAGACGTGGTCCCCAATATGTAGAGGAAAAAATGCAACTCTGGAGGAGGAAGAGGGAGAGGAGACGAGAAGTTAGAGACCCTGTGATCAGCCAACCATGCAGATGTATAACCTCAAAGGATTATAATCCATAATCATAACTATCACTGCTGGAACTGTCTCTCTAGAATTAAAAAGCTAATGTAGCACTCTTTTATGCCATCATATTGCAGGCTTATTGATAGCGCAATTATTTCGCATTCACTGTGGTTTATAGCATGGTAACAACACAAATGCAGCAGCCATGTAGCTGCAGGAGATTACAGTTTGTAAAAAGAAAATGCTTAAATTGATCCTAAAGCTCCTGTGAGGAACTTTCAGTCGGGGTTAGTTTTAGTTCCCAAGGATAAGCAAAGATGGCTTTGTCTGCTAGACAAAGCTCAGCTTGACCTCTACATGCTGAAGTAGTGTCTCATCCTGCTGACTTTTCACAGTCAAATGTGCCATTCCTGGAAAATAAAAAAAAACAAGGCTGTGTCTTCAGCTACTGAGCTGACACCTACCCCTCACACACCACTTTCCCATGTTAAATGCACAAAAATCCTTGTCAGAGCTTGAAAAACAGACCTTGACTGAAATAGGGTTAGGGTTGAGCAGAAGGAAATATTAATAATTTGAAGCTGCTACTTGATGTGACAATGATATATGTGAAATTATAAATGCATGACTTTTAAAAAAAAATCCCATATAATCTATAAAAATCAACAGATCTCAAAAGTAATAAATGTTATATTGTTTAAAATTTTTATTGAATTTTCCAACTTTTTCTTCCACGCTTCCCTTCTTGGGATTGTTCGTAATGAGTAATAATTAAAATTTACGGGGTAAAAATGTTCTGTCAATGTATTATCTTTCATTCACTGAACAGTTCTTAGCTCATATTTATGGTTTGCTGGAGTGCCCTGACATTAACACCTGTCATTTCTGACCTGTAAAGCTCCAAACTGAGATACTTTCATCATTAAAGCCCTTACAGGTCTTGCTAGTCCTTTTTTGGGGATGCTTGCATTTTTATTCTCATGATTATTTTTCCATTGATAATCCATCTGGCATGTTGTCTGGCAGAAATTAACATTTTATTCTCTACTAAATTTACTTTTAATCTGTTTTATTTGACCAATAATATTTTGTATAATCAAAATAACAGCCACATTCCATCATAACATTTTTTAACATATAGCCCTTGCAGCATTAAAATATGCAGTGTTGTATAATACACACCACATTTGCTGAAGGCCAAAATGATTTCACTTCCTCTCTTTTGCAACTCCTCCCATAAAAATATCAATGACATAATGTAAACAAACTGGCATGAGCATGACTGTGATCCAGTGACATTTCCCCAATGTCATTGATGCATCTGACTGCACACACATCAAGATAAAATCCCCCTCAGGTGCCCATGAGGCAGATTTTGTGAACAGGAAATCCTTTCAGAGCATTAATGTTCAGGTGAACATGACTTTTTCAAATTGTCAGTTACTGAATACCATGCATTGCTTGTGATGTGCATTGATCAGTTTTAAATAGTCTTCATCTTATGATTTCAGATGATCTGCAATGCTGACTTTCTCATCAGCATTGTTGTGGCAAAGTGGCCCGGCCATAACTCCTGAGTCTTCCGGGCCTCTGAAATCTATCAGAGCCTACCACAAGGTGAGCCACACAACTTCTATCAATAACCACCTTGTATATCATGGCAGTGTCAACAATGTCACTGTATTACGAGGTTGTGATGTTGACATTTTGTATTGACAGATGAATCCTCAGATGTGTTACTGGGGGACATGGGGTATGTCTGCCAGCCATTTCTCCTGACACCAATCACAGCCTGTGACATAACTGTGGCCTGTGCTCTCCTCCACAATGTGGCCTGCCTGAGGAAGGAGAGGGCCCCCAGAGTGCCACCACACATGGACTGGGTCAATCCTGCCATCTTCCCTGATGACGACAGTGGTCGGCTGGTCAGAGACCAATATGTTCAGTTATTTAAGATAACATGCATGTTTTAAAATTGAGTTAAATAAGTGCTGCAGTGGCAAAGACACATGCTGTGAATTTCAGTTAACTATGACATGCATTGGCAGGGGAAGTTTGGTTGTTGTTTTCTTTAATTTAATTTAAATTGATATAGGCTCTTACAATGTTTGTGTTGTATACTGTGTATATACTGCTTGCTAGAATGTGTATTTATTCTCATGTTGTATGATATGCTTTGATTCCACGCTTCCTATCTTATAGAGTCACTGTGTGACTTCACTTTTAAAGGAGCTGATTGTTTACTTGCTTTGATTTCCTTATTCAATAAAGGAACTTCATCTTACTTTTGTGGATGTGTATTTATATTTTTATGGCATGTGTAGTCTATAGGAAACCATGAATTATCTTATTATTGCAAAATCATCTAAAATAATCATTCATCTAAAATAATTAAAATTGAATATCACACGTTTTAGACTATGACAGTGTACATATTTGAGCGTGAAAAATTTGTGTAGTGGGCAGTGGTGGAATAACTATCGGTTTCCATTTGTGGTGCATACTGACTGAGATAATAGATGAGATGAAATAAATCCTGGAATTTAGCCAGGTCTGTAGCAGGTTAGCTCCACATGATCAGTCTCCATGGTAACTTCTACCATAACATATCCTACTTTCCTCTATCCTGCTTTTGTGCAACTGGGTCACGGATAAATTGAGCCAGGATAACCAAGATATCACGACTTAATCCCTTATCCTAGTTTTGTGCAACAGGCCCAAGGTGTGAAGGTCTGACCCAGTTCTGGTAGATGTCAAAGGAAAAGGCTGTTTTACCCTTTACTGAACTTCTTGAAAGGTGGTCTGATGACACTCCGGCTCTTCACCACACAGTGTCTGCCCACCCTGACATTCGCCAGGTCCCCTCTGATGATGCAGTCATTCATCACAATAGCCTGGAAGAAAGAAGCACAACACAGATCCAAATGTAAGCCTTACCACAGTCTCACCAAGACCACAGAAACCGACCTGCCGTCCTTACTTTGCCATTTAGGACGATGTTTTGACTCCCACACAGCACCGACTGTCTGCTCACTTTGTTGCCAGAGGCCTGAAAAGAAGTAGATTTGGTTGATAACAGTTTGAATTTTTGTTTCGCGAACGTTATTTCTTATTTCTGGTAAATGGTCGTTTCAATTGTCCAACGCCCCGTTAGCATCAGTTAGCTAAATAGCAATCAACCAGCAAGCTAAAACAGCATATAAATTAGTGTATTACCGTCTCAATGTACTCCGCTTTATTGTACAGTATTTCAGACAACTCCATGGCTGGAAATCTTGTCTTAAACCTGACACAGAGTGGATGAATCAAACACTAATGAAAGACGCATCTGTTTTTCTCCACTGTCAGCTTCTCGTTTCGCTTGTGACGCCAACCCCCTGCCTGAGAGGATCCAGGTAGTGTGGATTGAGTGCCAAATCATCGATTGATTGATACCTAGTTAAATCTCTTAGCGTTGTATCGCAACCGGTTTACCTAAAGGCGGATGAATGATTCAGTTTCGTCCGTTTAATTTTCTCAGCAATTACTAAAGAATTGATCGTTAATACGACTCTGTGATTGATTATAGTACCTTGTTATAAATAGTAACTCCCTCGTCACCTAAACATATTTAGGTTGATGTTTTTCACCCTAATTTTTTGGTTTTGCGTTTTAACAGTAACACTATCAAGAAAACATCACAACAATAAAAGTGCTAATAAATGTACGGCTGGTGAGATGCGCATGCGCACCGCAGAGCCCTTGTCTGACCCCGTTTCTTCTTCACTGTGCATGCTGGGAACTCCCAGTCACTTATCCCCATCATGGCGTCCCGTGCCCTGCTGCAGTGTGTCCGCTCGCTTGCACGGCCCTCGCTGAGGCTCTCCTCCTTCACCCTGGCTGTTAGACCTGCTGTCGCACCGGCAGCAGTGATCCACCGACCCCTATCATTCGCCGTAGACAGCCGAAGGACGCGGCGGATCGGGCAGAGCCCGGTGAGTGTCCGGTAACATTGAGCAGCTGTAGGCCTGTGACCTACCGACGTCTTTCAAAATCCTCAGACTCACCTGGTCTGCTGGAGGTTCACTGTGCTATTATGGGGGTTATATTATCACAGTGGACAGTCTGACTCTATGAAATAACGGCCGTAATCCACGAAATCGTCAAAGGTTGTTTTTGATTATACAACCGCCATGGATGGCTTGTTAGCCAGTTAGCTTGTAAGTTAGTTTGAGAACTGAAGTGCAGTCCGAAGACAACTTGAGAGGAGAGCGCCGTGGTTATTGAAGTTGACAGAGAAGTCTGTTGTCTGGAGCAAGCAGGGTCTAAGAAAAGGTCCTGTGTGCAGAGTTCCGTATCTCATTTGGAGAAAGTTTAATCTATGGATGCACCGAAATATCGGCCAAGTATCGACCCGTGTTTCGGTATCGGCTAAAAATCACCAATGGCCTTTACCACTAAAATCTGTTGCAACACATCTATTCAGTTGTGTTAAAAAAGCGAGTAAGCCTTGTTAGAGTCCGATATGTAATGATGACCCGAATTTTTATTAAAAATTGTAATAACACCCAAAGTGTAATTATTGGTCAATAACATAAGATGCTGAGCCCAAAATGTCTGAAAAACAACAAATAACAAAGGGAAATGAGTAGTGCCAGTGGAGTAAGTAGTCATCTGTTATTTTTTCACTCTGATATCTGTGTCTCTTCTGATGAGAATTTAAACATATGGTATAAAGTTATCGTTCAACCTACAATCTTAAAGAAATGTGTATAATCTATAATGTGTATATTACAAACAAGACCGTCAGAGATAAAACTGATGGCATTTATATTGTCATTTTTAATGCCTGAAACCGGTGTGAGAGGGTAGGTGTCGGCCTACGAGATGTAATGTGCATTCTAATTTTGAGCCCTTGATGTAATTGTAGTCATAAATGCTGCACTAATATACTGTGTGTGCGCTGGAACAATGCCTTTAGAGATAGGACATAAACATTGAAAGTTTTCTCCAAAGGTTTGTTGTGAAGAGTGCCATCATTACTAGTGCTCCTCCAGCTTCTGTCACCTGCTGTAATCAGTCTTTTTAGCTGCACCTGCATGCTTAGCTCCTCAGTGTTGGCTCCAGCTCAAAGTCCTTTCATCTGAGCCATTTGGGAGTAAAATGTGCCATTTAAAAGTAAAAGTTGTTTTCTAGAACTGTGGAAGATGCAGGAGTGGCTTATTTATGGTGTGCTAAAAGGGACTGTAAAAGCATACAATGGCAATAAAAACATGTTGATTTCAGACCTTAATAGTATCAGGAAATAATGATCAATAATAATCAAGTATTAACAGCCTCAGTGATCATTCTGTATGTTGCCATCTTGTATGATGAAAATATGCCACCTGAGACTCAGTGCTATGCCAGGTCAGCCTGTTTTGAGTTTTGGAGCTTGTGAACAGTTTGTGTTTCAAACTTAAACCCAAAAAGTGAAGTCATCAGCATCGCCGACCCATCCTCATCTTTTCCTTCCACCTCTTCTGCCCCCCTCCAGATCCCTGTAGTAGGCGTGCTGTGCCGACAGTATGGGGACCTGCCCCCCCTCACCCTAGACACCATCAAAGACCGTGTTATGTATGTCCTCAAGCTGTACGACAAGATCAACCCTGACAAGGTGAGAGCGAGCAGTGACTAGCTAAGATACTATGAGGCCCAAACTCAGCTAACTAAGAGCTAAAGTGTGTTTGTGACTCTATCATCCTCAGCTGGGGGTATCCTCTCACTTCATGAAAGATCTGGGTCTGGACAGCTTGGACCAGGTGGAGATCATCATGGCCATGGAGGATGAGTTTGGTGAGTGTTTGTGGACATGTCAAGCTGTCTGTCAGTCTCATGACTGGACGGTGACCAACTCTTAAGGGTTTCTAATGCAACAAGGTTTTAGTGATATGAGAACTCTGACCAATGCCTTTGTTTGCAATCTTACCAGCAACATGAAAGGCTAGAAAGGAGCTACCTGGGGAGGGTGTTTTCAGATTGTCAGATGAGCTTGAAGGCAGTTTGAGATTAATTAAAATAAATATGATGCTTCTCTAGCAGACTTTCAATCCTGAACCCACAACACCATGGCTCAATTTGGTTCAACTGTGAGACCTTGTAGAAAATTGAAGGTCTGTGAATGAATCTGTTTGTGAGGCCAGATTTTTGTAAGCTTAAAGGCCCTGGTTGCAGATTCACCAATGCCAGGACTCCTCTGTGTTTACAACCTGTGAATCATTCCATCTCTTTATTTTTGAACAGCATAGAAACATAATAGAAGTGATCCCATTTAACCTTACAAGAGGACAAGCCCGGTGTAATATTTTGATGTTCTGAGGGGACTGATTTGAGTCATTTATCAGAGTGTGACTGCGACTCTCGATCCAGTTTCAGTAAGCAGAGTTGGCACCACCAACCCTTGGTCACATGCTTTTGCTGTTTTATTGCTCTGGTTCAGGGGTTACATACCAGTTTAACCAAACACTGCCTACACACCCACACCCACTTGATCCCCATGCTCTAGATTTAAGTACCAACCATGCTGCGCTATGTGATCTTCATATTTGAGATGGCATAAAATGGTTTCATCCAGGAACAGATCCCACTTGATTTGCATGAAGGCTGTTTGATTATGGCCAAAATGATGGATCAGAATTTAATTTACTGTTATTTACCATGGTCAGTCATTTAAAGGTTATCATTATGTCTGTCGCTCACTGGGGCTGAAAACTCTGCTTTACTACCACTCACCACTACTTTTAAATAGTTAAGAAACCTGACATCATAAACATCAACAAACTGTCAATGCACAGATCCCATGTTGTTATGACAACATGAGCTGTTTGAAACATTCTGAACCTCGGTAGTTGCTGTCAGTCATGCTTCCGCCACCATCATGATGGAGGTTTGCAGCCTTAATGAGCGTGCCAACAGCCAGCTCTGGGTGAAAAGGAATGGAGGTTTGTCATGCTATGTGTTTTCTCTCCTGCAGGTTTTGAAATCCCTGACGCAGAAGCAGAAAAGTTGATGACTCCTGAGGAGATTGTACAGTACATTGCTGACAAGAAGGACGTTTATGAATAATTAGTTCCGTGGTTCCCTGCAGAGGTAAATCTCTCTGATGGCCATGCTTTCCTTGCCCCCTGAATTATACTCTGGCTTTATTTCATGTGTTATTGACTGATCAGTTCTGTGAATTTCTTCTAGAGTTGTTGACCCCGGCGTGACCCCACAGGAAGCAACAGATGGGCACTAAACCATCTCCCACATAATTCTCGTCGGCTCCTCTGTTCATAACAGCTCTGTTGTTGGTTGCCGATCTTGTTGTTTGACTGTATTTAATGAATGAACATGTGCTTTTGGAGCTTGGAGACAAACAGAAAATAAATCCAGATTATAACACAGATTTTTTCTTCTTATAGCTCCACCTTGTGGCTCTGATGTATAATTTGTCATAAATAGATCAATAAAGACACTCGCTGTGAACTTCTATGTATCACTGCCCTGTTTTTTTTTTTTTTATTATTATTATTCTTGTTCTATATTCAAAGGAACAATAATATTAGGGTATATACAGCTCTGGAAAAAAAAAGAGACCACAGCAAAATAATCAGTTTCTCTGATTTTGATTTTTATAGGCATATGTTTGAGTAAAATGAACATTTTTGATTTATTCTAGTAACTACTGACAACACAAGTCCCAAATTCCAAATGAAAATATTTTGTCATTTAGATTTAAACCACAGCTGTCATGCGTCTTGGCATGCTCTCTACCATTCTTTCACATCGCTGTTGGTGTTGGGTGACTTATTGCCATTCCTGGTGTAAGCATGGTGTAAGCACCTCAGCTTTGTTTGATGGTTTGTGACCATCAAACTTCCTTCTGATCACCAACCACAGGTTTTCAATGGGGTTCAGGTCTGGAGACTGGGCTGTCCATGACAAGGTCTTAATCTGGTGGTGCTTCATCCAGTCCTTTATCCATCTAGCTGTGTGGCATGGAATACTGTCCTGCTGGAAAAACCAACACTAAGAGTTTGGAAACATGGTCAGAGCAGAGGGCAGCAAGTTTTCCTCCAGGATAATCTTGTATGTGGCCTGATTCATGCGTCCTTCACAAAGACGAATCTGGCCAATTCCAGCCTTGCTGAAGCAACCCCATATCATCACTGATCCTCCACCAAATTTCACTGTGGATGCAAGACATTGTGGCTTATAAGGCTCTATGGGTCTCTCTCTAACCATGAGACAACTAGGTGTTAGACAAAGCTGGAAATGAGAAATTTTAAGTATTGAAGCCCCTGACGCTCACTGTATCCCTCTGCCGGTAAAGTCAGAGTTCAACCCTCAGTTTCCTCACACAAATAATTTCATTTCTTTTGGCATGGATGGTCAATAGTTATTTTTTATCTATTTTTCTTTTGTTCCAGTTACTTTTGATGTATAATTAGTACTGTTCCAGTAGGTCCTATTGCAACAGGATAATGATGACCACAGAAATGGTTTATATTTCTTCCTTAATTAAGATTTGGTTCAGGTGATCACCTCATTAGTACCTTATTAGGTAGAAAAAGGTGTGCTTGTGTTGGAATTCAACAGATACTGGAATAAAATAACTGTCATATATGTAGAGATGCTGATTTCTGAAAAATTTACAGTAGTCTCTTAAATTTTTCCAGAGCTGTATTTGTGAGTGATGAGGTAGAAAAGTGCTTCTGAAAGTAGAGCCATGTTGAGGGTGAGGGAGTAAACATTTTTGGATGATATTTGGACTGCCTTAGTTTCCTGTGAAGTACAATGATTGTCTGTAACCCCAAATAAAGCTGCAGCTTCATTTTTTTACTGTAAGCATCCAGACGTGGGTACATTGGAGTAAGTTTTGCCTTTAAAAGATGACCCTGTTGCAGGACTTTGGATGCTATTTTACTTCTCCCACAGAGCAATTCTTTCAGATGGAGAGGGATCTTAAGGATGTCAACCAAAACATTACAAAAATTAGAGTCATAGTGCAGAGTTAAAAATTAAAAAGATAAACTGGAGAAAGGGAGGTGACATTTGTGTGACAAGTCCTCAAAATGAGCAAATCCATCATTTATATCAATGTGTTGAAGTATGGAAATACTTTGCTTTGCCACAGACTTGAAATAAAGGTGGTGATCACACATGGGGCTAATGTGGATAAAGTGTCAGAAATCTAAAACTTGGACTATTAATAACAGGGCTATTGGTAAACTGTGACACAGAGATGAGGAGAGGAGACTGAAAAAGACTGCAGTGGAAAGGGATGAGGATGTAGAAGATCTGTTTTACAAACTGCACCAATCTGAGAGTGCCTCAGTGTCAACAGGCAGTGGTTGATCATACTGCAGGTTGATCCAATATCATGTATGTGAACAGGTCTCCCAAAGTGTCACCTATGCTATAATGAAATTAGTTGGTGGTTTTAGGGCCTGGACCAATCCAAATGAAATATTTAACATAGGTGGGCCCTTGGACAGCTGGGTGATCAACAGAATGAAAGCCAATAAACACGTTAGTCTATCTTGAAAACAACCACTATAAGGAACTGCAAAAAGCATTCAGTCAGTTCAACAGGAAGATTGAGGGTTTGAATGGTGGTATAAATAAAACAGACCAGGAGGAGATCTCGGATTCATAGTTAGTCTTTTATTGAGGGTTGTACCCAAGTTTTACAGCTTTGTATGATGGCTACAGGAGCCATAGGTTACAAACAGTAATCAGTATACGAGTACAGCCAACAGAAGACCTACTACCTACTACTCTACGCCTTAGTACAGATTCTCTTAAGAGCACTAAAATCCAGAAAAATAAAGGGAAAAAAATACAGAACAAACCAAGCAACAAAAGGAGGAGAATAAAAAGATTAAATGAAACCAAACAAATAGACAGCATTAGAGGAGCCATTCATTATTAGAGCACACTGGAGTTGGTTTTCTATATCTTGTAATATCAGGCAACTTTGTTTTTTTTTTTTTTTGTCAATTTTTATACCCATACAAATAAAGATTGTCCTTCAAAAAGTGCAGTTTTCCCCCAGAAGTTTCAGATAAAATCCTTTGATAACCCAAGGAAGACATTTGAAGATAAAAAGGTACTTCCTGTTTGTGTGAGAGGAAGACTTCCCTCTCATTGATTATAAACACTGTACGTTTATATTCTCATATATAGATATATATATAGATATATATATATATATATTATATATATAGTTTCAACAGTCTCCCAAAGCAATGTGCATAATAGGTTTACAGGTGATCCAACTACACACTGTGGATTGATAGAATCTCTATAAAAAACATTGTAGTTGTGTAAAATTTGCAGTTTCACCGGCACCGCCCCTCGGCTTTTTGAGGTGGGGGGGGCCGCGCTGTGAAAATAAACAAATGGACTTTTGCAAATCTTAACCTGTCCTCCTCTCCTGCTACAACTGGCCCAACAGCTGCTAGGTAATAAAGGTTTTGTCAGCTTTATTATTATTATTATTAGTAGTAGTACTAGCAGTACAATTCAACAATGGCACAACATTTTTGAGGAATATTATTGGGAATCCCATCTCAGCTGTTAAAAAATTGATTTCGTTTAAGAAGAGAAAGCAAAACAAACCCAAGTTGGACATGGAAGCCTGGGTTCAACACTCCACTGCATAGTCTTTCTGAGCGAAAACCCACCCTACCCCTCTGTACTGGACCCACTCACCCAACCCCAATAATACACCCACCCAATCCCACCCTACCCCCCATATCTTTGTGCTGGTTAGACTAAAGCTTTTCAGGGTTTGTTTGTGTTCATACTAAATGTAAAATGACAAAAAAAGACAGCAGATTCTCACAGTTTTTTTTTTCTATGTGTGTCAAAAAAATAGCTTCAGCGCTTTTTGATCGACGTAAGGAGCTGTTGGGTGTGTGGTGTTATGATATAGCATAGCATTTGCTCACAGGATAGTTAAGTCAAGAGAAAAACTAGAGTCACATTATTTTTTTTCTTAGACATTTAAAAAAGTAGTATCACCAGCCAGCTTCCCTCCTCCTCTCCTTTCCTTCCCTCCCCTCGTCTGGCACTGTCTGGGAGCTGCTTGGCAGCCCCCAGAGGATTGTACATTGCTCATGGTGGTTATCACTTGAAAGGTTTTCCTCACCTCACCATTTTTGCAAATTACTTTTTTTTCTTCAAGCGTTAAAACATTGTCCAGCTTTTTATATACACGTACACACACATACACAATAAGAACCAGAAAAAATAAGTCAATCCCTTTCCTTCCCTCTCACCCTCACTCTTTGATTTGGCATGATAATATGTTCGACACACAGACACACACACTAACAGTAGATCAGACAAACAGAGACAGAGGGAATTAAGCTTGGAACCAAAACAGTAACATCAACAATGAGAGGCGTTTACAGACGTTGCTTGTCCCTTCTCTAACTGCAGAGTGATGCCGAATCCTCGGCTGCTGGTCTGAGCTCAGTTTTTGTCCCACTAATGGAAAATGTAAAGATACTGAGAAGGGAGAAAAACTGCTCCCAGATCAGAGTTTGGAAAAGACATCAAAAAAATAATCAGAATGAACGAAGTGTAAAATAATTTCAGCAAGAGTTCAAAGGGAATATTGACGGTTTTAGTGTTCACTTGCCTCAAGTCAGTTTCTTGTTCCCTCCCCTGCGAAGTTTAGAGAGGAAGCTGATCCTGGATAAGCCAGAATTAAAGAGGCAGGTGTAACCCCCTGTCCCTGAAAAGCCAATCACAAGTCACATTCCCTTGCCTGAGTCACTACAGGGCCAGTAGGAAGTCTCGTCTGGTTTCAGTCAATCTAAAGACCTGCACTGCATTCAGAACAGTAGCTGAATACTTTGACAGTACAGCAGAGCTGTGATCACTTTGATGTGTTTGAGGCTGTCTTAAACTTTTTTAACCGTTTTTAGCTACATACTGTGACGACACGCCAGCCCAGTGAGCACAGAGAGGTCAACTATGAGCGAGCGGCAATTGCACAGCCCTCACCTCTTCTCTATCTTTCTCACCAGAGCACCACCTACGACGCGAACTTTACCGTGTCACAAGCACCTCCTCCACTTTGGACAGACCTGAAAATGCGACTGGAACCACCATCTCGCCACAGCTCTGTGTCTGCTAGCTTGGCCTTTCCTCCAATCCACACAAGTGCAAAATCCAAAAGGCTCCTCAGTTCAATTTGTCAGATTAAGTTAAACTCAAACAAACAATAACAGTTCAGATGTTCCACTTGATAAGATTTGTTAAACAAGACACAAAACAAATACAAATAAGATACACACACACATATATATATATATATATATACATATATATATATATATATACACACATATATATATATATATATATATATATATATATACACATATACATATTTATATAGTTTAATCAATGAGATCTGGAATTAAGTAAAATAATCCTTTAAATTATTTGGTAGAGAGCAGTTCAATACTGGCACACACCAACGTCAAGTCTGGCTAATACTCAAGGTTCTGCCTCACTACGTCTGCTTTGAAGTCGTTAAATATTAACGGCTAAAAACACAACTAAAGACGACGAGTACTTCTGAAATAAAAACCTCAATCCTTAGTGGGACACATGCAAACACGCACAACAGGCAGAATAATAACACAATGAAGAAAAGAAATTAAGGTCCATGGCTTCGCTAATGCTGACTTCTCGTTCGCACACAACTTCTGAAGCTTTTTTTTGTCATTTTTCCCCCCAAGTATTTGTGCATTATAGTCACTAAACAATCACTGGTTAGAGAGGTGGATCTACACACACTTATGTTGTCGACAAATACCACTGCTGAGTTTACATTCACACTGTTCTCATTCACACAACAGACCAATCTCCTTCCAGCAGAACTCATATCTGCTGGCAAAAAACACCCTCTCTGAAAAACACACAAACACACAAACACACAAACACGATTCATACGGTCAGGAACTTCAGATGATGTATACTACCCCCCCTCCCCAAAGGAAAAAAAAAAGCAGTACAACAATACAATCATATTCTATTTGTAAACAGGTAGAAGCCACTTGACTTGTTGTTGCATCTTCGGACACAATTAGGATCAAGGCAATGAAATGTGGACGACTTTTGCACTGTTAAAATAGTTTCTTCAACCAAAACAAGATTTTCTAAGTTTTTTTTCTTCTTTACTTTTTTTCAAAACACCATTTGTGGCAATGAGAGTGATTAAAACAACAAAATAAGCAAGTAATATTTCGCATTTGTTGAACTCAATGAAACATTTCAAACATTTTGAGACACTGGAACAATAAAGAAAAAAAAGCGCCTCTCAGTAGGCCATGTGAGAGGCTACAGTATGCATAGATACAGATTCGCCTTTCTCTTGGTTTACAAGTCTGACAAGAAGACAGAACTGACAATCACACGCACACGAGAAACACTCCCCACTTTTGATTTTTACATCAGTGGAGTGACGGACATAGAGAAGGAGAGGAGGAGGAGAGCGGTTTGTACAGCCCATCCTCCACCCCGCTCTGTACCTCCCTGTCCTGAACATAAGGACCCCCCCCCCCAAAAAAAAAAGACAGCATATTGAAAGCAGTGTGTTGAGCTTCTCCAGCTTAAAGCAGTTATTTGGCAGAGAAAAAAAACTTACAGACTTATACATAGTTTTCAGTGCTAGAAGTTGGATTTTCCTTTCCTACAAGGAGTAGTAGTTTTTTTTTTTTATTCACCTACAAGGGGGGGAAAACTGGCTTGATTTCCTGAGAACCATTGCTGGTTATTTAGCAGACAAAGAGGAATAGTTCAAATAACCAACGCCATGGCCAAAAACACTGATCCGAATTCCCAGAGTTACAAAGCATCGTCTTCATCCTCAATAAGAGTTTAACTTTTTTTTTTTTTTTTTAAGAGATTTTTTAAAGCTTTTTTTGATGTTTTAATTTTTTATTTTTTTTTTAAATTTTTTCTATCTTCTCTTTAAAATGAAGAATGAACACACGTTCCGCCTCCTAAGTCTTGTAAACAAGAGGTTGCAGTGTGGCACCTCCAAAACATTGAAAGCCTATTCTGAAAGTGCTGTTCCCTTCCTTGCCCACTAGAGGGCCAACAGGAGGGCTTGCTAGATAGACCCGGACCCCAAAATTGGGGTGGGCGGGGCTTGCTAGTCCCAGCTGCGGCTACAGTCCTTTGCACTGCAGAGCTCAACGTTCTTTAGTTTTAAAACAAAATTGGTGCAATACTTTTTAATGTCACTTGAACTATCACCAGATAATCCTCCTAAGTCAGCTTTTCTCCTTCTTCAACTATCTGTTGATCTTGAACTCCACGACAACGCAGTAAGGTAGGCGTGCCAAGGCAGAGAGGAGCGCGCGCGCGCGCACACACACACACACACACACACACACACACTCTCTCTCTCTCTCTCTCTCTCTCTCTCGTGTGCGTGCACACACATACACACATACGGTAAGGACCGCAATGAGTAAACAGCTACACTGGAAAAACTGGCTGCTCCCTCTATATTGCAGATTATATATACTGAGAAAAAACCACATTCAGTGCAAAGTTAAAAAAGCTCATACTCCAACATTGTCAGCTAACAAATGCAAAAAAATTTATAAGAAAACAAAAAGAAAACGTTAAAAATGAAAAGAATTGGAATTCAAATAAACATGACGAATGAAACAAAAAATATATTTATATATATAATGAGCTCGATTGAAGCTTTTTTCGGTCTGAAAGAGCACTACCTGGAAGCAAATATCCATCTGTTCACATTATAGAATTGGCCTGCATGATTCAAGTATTCCAACTGATATGTTTTTGGGCTAAAACAAAGTGGACATATGTGCAGAGAGAGAAACGTAACTTGTTTTCCACAGGGGAGACCCCGTTTGTTGAATATCTTGTAAGTGAGAAAGAGTCCAACTAGTGCCATTGCGTTTTTAACTACTTTTTTTTTTCTTTCATTTTCTTCTGCTGATTATTGATAATTTCTCTACTGACCCTTCCTCACACCTGTTTGATTGGCGGTGGCTCACATGGAGTCCCCACCCCCTGTCAGGTGATCCACGGGGAGGAAGGAGCTGATTGGAGAGGGGCTGCTGATCCGGCCGGCCTCAGTGCCACTCGGGCTCCCCCACAGGCTGCTGGAATAGTTTGGCCCACCCCAGAGGGAGGAGCTGTGGAGGTCGCTGCTGTTCCACTGATTGGGTTCAGGAGCACGGCTGGGAAAGGGGTGAGACTGATCCATCCTGCTCTGAGAGGAGCCGATGGTCTGCCAGCCAGAGGAGGGGGTGGCCAATGACTGCCCTTGTGCAAAGAAACGGTTGATTTCCTCCTCGCTGGCAAACTCGGCCAGAATAGTAGTGTTCCCCAAGACACACCTGCAGGGAGAAGACAGGTAAAGGTGTGAGTGAGTGAGTGTGTGTGTGTGTGTGTGTGTGTGTGTGTGTGTGTGTGTGTGTGTGTGTGTGTGTGTGTGTGTGTGCGGCTTCTTCAAATCCACTTCGTGCACTTGCATGTTTGAATGTGTTTGTTTGGAGTCCTTACATGTGCAGGCTTTTCTGGGCCTTGGCGGCCTCATCCTTGGAGCTGTAGCAGACCACAGCATTGCCATGTGGCAGGTTGAGGTGGAATGTGATCAGAGGGCCATGCTGCATACACAGAGTCCTCAGGGTAGAGCCATCAATCTACGAGTCAATGAGAACAGCAGACACACAGGAACAGACATTTGCCATCAATATTGAGTTCCTACATTTCCTCAAAGGCCTCAGTTTGCTACTATTCAACAGAAACATTAGCACTACATTTAAGTACAGCTTAATCAAGGTTAGCACATGAAAAATAGCTACATTCCCAAAATGTCTTCAAAAACAAAAACCTTAAAGTTCTGCCAAGTGCACCGTTAACACATGAGTTTGTGCAGCTTTGTTAAAAACCTACACTGCTAAGCAGCAAATCTTACAGGTATTGTGATATTCTTTACCCTGTGCTATCGAGGGTAAGAAGACCAATGACTAACTGTCAGCACACATTCTTAGAGATGGATCCTAGCACTAACAAAGTACATAACAAAGTGGTGTCTCTGTTCTGCATCTGTATTTTACTGAGGATTGTCTTTCTGTGGTCATGCTGTTGTCATGTCCTGGATCTGCATGTGCTTTTTAGTTCAACTTGATGATAAACACTGCTCTTACCTACACGAAAGTACATAAAATTGTTATGAATATCTGGAGTCATTTTAAATCGCAATTCTGGCCCTGACTTTGACTTGGTATCTTTTGGATTAGTACCAGATTCAATATGACCATCCACTCAGTTGCTTGGGGACAATGCTAAAAATAGCCTGATGTTAAGATAAAAAAAAATGAAGGTTTAATGTATCTGGAAATCTTTAAAACTGAGACTAGGACTGGGCAATTTGGCAAAAAAAAATGATCACAATATATTTTGTCATATCGTTTCATCTCAATTATTGTCATCTAGACTAAAGAACCTAGAGATTTGTTCAACATTTTATTAGCATACAAAGTGAATAACTGAGTAAATTGAATAAGTAAACAGAAAACTATAAAAAACATTTTAGCTCAACAGTACAAGAAATATAGATTAATACTAAATAATACAGTGAACTACTTTACAGTCTTGAGTGTTTTTGCAGGTATGCAAGACCCAAAATAAACAAATGCCCCCCCCTCAGGAATAATGAAAAAGCCTTAAAATGTAAACATTAGATGATGTTAAAGGGGACCTGCCATCAAAATGTAATTTTGTGTGTTTTAGTGTCAGATAAGGTCCATATTATGTTCGTCTTATGTTGTAAATGTGAAAACAAACCGTTACGTCGTTTGCATTCTGTAAAGGTTTAAAATAAAGAAACGGGTAAACCAGGCCAATTGAAAAAGCAGGTCCCTCTGACGTCGCGCTGACCTTGCTCATTATTATTCACGAGCGCGTCCTTGGTGAGCCACGCCCACTCTCTCGTTCTCGTACTCATTCACAGTCAACATCACTCTCCAGAGCGAGACCCAGCTACCACTGTATCCGCTATGGGTCTCTTCCAAACGACCGGTGTTTCCTTGGGTTCACTGCCGGGAAAATGAACTTAAAGCCGGGCAGAATGAATGAGAAAACACCACTGGAGATCTCCGGCTTCTTCTTCAACTTCCACCTCCTCTTCGGACTCGGGGGCTAAAATATATGGTTTAATACCTGCCATTTTTAGCCTTTAGCATAAGGTGACCAGACGTCCCTGATTTCCGGGGACAGTCCCCGTATTGGATGACCTGTCCCCGGCAAAAGCTGTCCCGGATTTAAGCGTTTCATGAATGAGAGCAAAAATGTTGCGTGTGGACTCGAACAACGGTTATTACAGTAGCCGAATAGGAAGAAAGCACAAGTAAGCAGTCCTGAACAACAGTTCTTACGGGGGTTATTACAAGGAGCATGCGCTGCTACTAAATAGTACTGAGATTTTGTCTGTGATCACACAGCCCCTGCACCCTCCCTGCCGCCGCCGCACCGAATATCCCCGGATATCATTACAGACATCTGGACACCTTACTTTAGCAAACATTAGCAAAATGGATAAACCGAAATCCGAACCTTCACTGCTGAGCCAATCAGAGCACAGCAGGCTTCACAGCAGCGATCCAATCAGAGCAAAGCTCATTACCATAAATGTTAATGAGCCAAAATCAGTTGGTTTTCCTGTAAGGTTTTTTAGGCATACTAAAACAAACCATCAAATAACTTTTCAGCTAAAATTATGTTGCAAACATGATCAGAGGACATTAAGGATTATGAAAAAATGATAAAAATGGGTATGAAATTTTGATGGCATGTCCCCTTTAAAGTAGATGATTGCTGCTTTGGTCTGGTGGCTGCACTGCTAGTTGTGGCTAAACTGCTAATGCTACTTGTGCCTTAGGCAGTGGCAGGCTGTGCAGACTCCGCTCGCATTTTCATGCTTTCCGCATAATCATTCGGGAAGTTCTTCTTCAAATGGTTCAGTTTTGGGGGCACTGACCACCGACATACCTTGCACATCTGCCTAATTGTTCAACGTCAATTTGGAGTTTGCTGAACCACCGCCACACAACCAGCGTTGAATAACTTTTCTTCTATACAATAGCATCTTCAGAGGATGACTCAACGTCATGGATGACATCTATTTTGCTGCCCTCAGCTCTGCGTTTAGCTCCACGTTTAGTCATTCTGTTTACTTCCTGTTTACTTCTCCTGAAACTTACAGAAGTGTGCAGGAAAAGCCCCACTCTGATTGGCTGTTGTCATGCACATTTCTGCCATGTTTAATCGAGTGAATATGCTCACAGCTGATCACCATGATTAAGCTGAAATTTATCACCATCATTAAACACGATCATATAATCGCCCAGTCCTACCCGAGAATGTTGTTGGAGACACTGTACAAGTCTTAATGCAGAAGAAAGCCACAGCAGAACAGACAAAATGCAAAAGTTCTATCTGTGTGGGTACCTGTGGTGTGAGATTTTTAAGAACAAGCCATTGGGTTCTCCCTGAGCTACTGCTGTCACCCCAACTGGAACCTGTAAATAAACACAATGTACAACCACATCAGCAATGGACACAAGAAATAGGGAAACAGCGAAATAGCAGAGGCTTATTAAGTGAGGTGATCTTTAGGGTTGGGTATCGAGAATTGAGTATCGATGGGGACCGGGACTAACATTTCGATTCTTCCGGTATCGTTCAAATATTAAATTTTCGATTCCAAGTTTCGATGCCGGAGTCCGCTGACCGGAAGAAATAGCCGCCGAAAATCAACGAAGAAGCTGCCGAACACCGACGAGGACGGAGCGTATGAGACGAAGCCACACAGAAAGTGAAGAGAGACAGAGAGAGAAAGTACATTGCAACCCACAGCAATGCAGTCGCTGTGGGTTACAATGCACTCTCTCTCTCTGTCTCTCCCCTCTCTCTCTCTCTGTGTGGCTTCGTCTCATACGCTCCGTCCTCGTTGGTGTTCGACAGCTTCTTCTTCGTTGGTCAAAAGTTTGGCTAACTTTAGCAGGAAGAATTAACTGTTATCTCAATGCAACATTAGCAATACAGTTATATCATGCAAAGGAGGGTAAACAACCAACATGATTAAACACCTCAGGATTCATGGAGGAGAAATACCCGAGTGCCTGTCTTTGACGCGCTTCGCCGGTGTTGTGCCATAGAATGCACCCCTGCCGTAGAATGCCCCCCTGACAGGAGCGCGGTTGAAAGTACACAACAAGGCGAAACAATCCAAGTTTTCCTTACTGTTGAACGGAATCTAAAGCCTGTGGCTTTAATGGTTTCATTCAGGCTATTCAGATAAGCCGAAAACAATAGTCCTCTGATTCGGAATATTTACTGTCCCGAAAATATAATGTTCTCTACTCTACAGCTTACTGTACAGTTTATATACCCAAGTACACCTCTATGTGTGCATTTTTGAGACACATAAAAACAAAACGAAAGTTTACTGCTCCATTTGACATGTTTTCATGATCCAATACTCGTGTTTTTTTTAAATATGAGATCATATTTCTTCCACTTTAAGAAGCTAATGAGTGGAGGGGAGGCATTCTACAGCAGGGGTGCATTCTACAGCACAACACCTGTCTTCCGCTAACCAGTCAGGATCAGATAAGTGAAACAATGAATTACTTCTGTCCTCTGCAAACTTTGAAGCGGTAAACAAATTGCACTGTGTACGGTGAGTAAACTTAAATATCCAACTAACGTTAGCCCTTGTACTTTTTCATAGACAAACAACCTGAGAACAAAAATTGATATTTATATACTGGTTGAAAATAGTCCTGTGAGAAATTACGAAATTTCATCTAAAAAGAAGAGCTCCGGTTAGCTCCCTCATTCAAACCATGCTTTTTTGTTGTTTTTGACATCCTGCCTTTTAAAAGAATCGAAATAGAGAATTGATAGGAATTGGAATCGAAATCGGAATCGAAATCGAAATCGTTCAAAATCAAACGATACCCAACCCTAGTGATCTTAGAGCACAGGTTAACTGTACCCTCTGACCAGACTGAACCAACTATCCTTTAGGTTGACATTTTCCTTCCTGTTTCCACAAACAGGAAAAAAGAAACATTCTGACCACTCCATCAAGCCAAATTATTCAAACATGGGGAAGATAAACCCTGGTGCACTCACCAGGTGTGTATCTGGACTCAGAGGAGCCCCAACCCCCCAGCCTCAGGGCAGTGCCATCCCAGCCGGAGGAAGCAGAGCTTGGCTTCTGGCTGGTGAGGCCAGGTGGGGGTCTGGAAGGGGCTGCCACAGACAGAGCCTTAGGAGGCAGGGGGACCTTCCATAGCTCATGGGCCAGGGAGGAGTTGGACACAGAACCACCGCTGGGAGACCATTTTGACTCATTGGGTCGGGCTGCAGGGAGAAAAACAGAGCAAAGTCTTTAAAGTCACATATATGTCCAATCCAAGGAAGGAACATGGTGAAAAGATCACAAAAACGAATTACCTGAAGTGCTTTGTGCTGTACTGGTGAGGGAACCGCTGTGGCTGGAGGCACGAATGGATGACCAGGCACTGTTAGAAGGCATCGTGGTGTTCAGTGATGAGGATGGCCCTGACAGCAGAAAAAGGAGAGCATGTGAGAGGGTGTCTCAGAACAAAGAACTGTTTCTTACTTTAAAATCTGTTGAAATAAAGAATGAAACCTGTTCAGGTTGAGTTTGAATGTTTTTGATGTTCTGAGCTACAACATGCTGTATGCAGGGTTCCCACTCTTTTCCAGAGATCATTTTCCAGGACAATGATGTTCAAGTTGGTAGGACAGTCTAGATTTAGTTCCTTAATAGTCTAATATGTCCCTCTCAGTAGTAGTCTACATTTAAAAGACATGCAGTCTATTGCTTTCTAGGAAATCGTCTCTTACTCTTAATAGATTATAGAATAATGCATCCTCAAATGTGCAGCACCTCACTTAACGAACTTATCTCAGCTTTCTCTTCTCTCAAAAAATATAAAATTTACTAAGTAAAAAGCAAAAGAGTCAGCAAAGGAATCTGGAAGCTGTATTACTAAAATAAATAAATAATAACAATCAGAGGATAAATTGAATTAAAGTGCATAAATTGACAAAATGACAAAAATGGCCACACATTTTTCTCAACTCAACTCAAAATATAATGTATTTATCAGGGATATTCACCCAGCAAAGTGGTCTATTATTCTGCTGTACACAGCTTTCATGCTTTATCTTTTATGAGTTTATAAACACTGTTGTCAATTGGCATTTATTTAAGTTATGAAACAGTTGTATTTCACTCTCACTTTTGCTGGGCTCATAGCAGAACACAGACTTGGAATTGCTCAGTTAGCAAGAAAGACAGACAAGAGTGATAAGTGCAAGCTAAAATGTCATCAACAACATTACCGTTAACTCTGGAAAAATTGCACCAGTACACAATTCACACTCTAAATTGGAAGGTCTCTGAGGTTTAAAAAACTTTAAACTATCTTCTTGCATAGCAGTGTCTAGTGTGATCAGAGATATCGACAACGTGCAGTTTCTGTGCAGCTGTGTCACTCTTTTTGTTCTGTTTGTTTTCACTATCTGGAGTTCGCACTGCTTTGCAGTATGACTTACCGTTGTTCCTGTCCCTGAGGTGATCTGTGTCGCGGACGGTGTTGATGGAGAGGTTGTTGATGACACTGCCGGGGGTCACATAAGGGTCAGTCTCAGGGTCAATATTGGGGTAACCTTTCCAAGGCTCCCCAGGTCGGAACTCTGCACACACAAAAACACACAGACACAAACAAGATGAGTGGTTTTCTTTCAACACATCCTTTAGTGCAAGTCCATGCATTTGAAAGCAGTAGGTGTACCTGGGGGCCAGGTGACAGTGTTTCCATGGGGTGGGGGGGAGTTGGCACGGGGTGGCCAGCCATCGCCCACCGAGCCCATTGATTGGCCGGGAGGACTCAGTGGGGAGGGGCCAGGAGACAGGTAGTCATAGAAGGGAGAGTCCTCCAGACGCAGCCCAGACGACATAGCACCTGTGGAGCAAACAGATACGATTATGCTTCAACAAAGATGTTATTAGAGCTGTTCACAGTTGAGCCCCTTTCACACAAGCACTACACTCCTGAAATTTTCCTGATTTTATCTCAGAGATCTGCATATGTAATTGCAATCTTTATACTAGGTCAAACTTTAATCCTTAATTAGGGTTAAATCTTGACCTTAGGGCTAAGTTTGGACTTCATCGGGAAATTTTCCTGCCAGTCTCCCTTTTAAACAACCACAAGAAGTCAGGGTTGACGGTCTAAAACCTGACAGCAGTCACAGGGCTTTAACAGAAGCAGCAGGCTAACCTGCTTTTATAAGTTTGTTTCGAGTTGATATGCTTGGTTCTGAGTTAGGAACCTTGTAGTGTGTATTATTCTCAAGGTTTCCATCTGCTTTACTTAGAAAAACCGGCCGGGTAGAATCAACCAGTAAAAACACTGAATTGAACAGTTCTGAATTCACTTTAAGAGTATCTCCAGTGGGCACAGACAGTCAGGAGGGCAGTCATGGTGTGCAGTTTGTGTCTTTACCAGGTTTGCTGTTCTGCTCCAGAGGGTCAGTAGCCCAAAGTTTCTTCAGTTTGGACTGGGGTGGCTCTTTGAAGCTCACAGCTCCACCACCACTACTACCGCCACCGCCAACGCCCATGTCCAGGGATACATTCAGGTTAGAGTTCAAGCCTGAAGAGAGGATAGAAGGAGTTTGGTTATTCTCAACTATGGTCAAACAAGAGCTCATTAAGATAAATATACATGTCCCTCAAAATGTATCATGAACGATAAGATTAAACTACTGAAAAAATACTAATCCAACAATAAGAATTTAATCACGAGTGCAGTTAACATACTTAAAGGGAAGTTACTGAAGGATCCGAGTGCAGCAGCATCCTTCTGCATCTCAGGGGCATTGTGGGACAAGTAGTTATCCAGGTATGGTTTAAGGGGAGGGGCCTGTTTCAGCAGAGAGGGGTCCAGGTGACGTGGCGGCTGCATCATTGATGGAGATGAACCAATAGGACGTGTCTACAGGCAGGATGTAGAGATTAGAGCAGATACACCAAGGAGGCTATGCCACATATAAACATCTGCTTCATGAGACGATAACTGGCTGTAACAGAGCAGTATGCAGTAACACATCAACACAAAAACACACACCTGTTCAGTCTGCCGTCCTACAGGCATGGCTCTCTGGTTCTGAGCTTTCTGATGCTGCTGCTGCTGCTGCAGGAGAAGACGCTGCAGAAAAACAAGGAAAAAACAAATTTGTAAAAGAAGTCACTCAAAGTTTTTATCGATTTTGCAAAAATGTATTGTTCACTTGTTTGAAACATGGTTAAATATATCACAATTGGGTGCAAAAGGATGATTCTAACCAGTCATCATATTTAGGAGTCAACACCAAGGTGGACTCTTCCAGTATATTTTGTTATTTATAAGAAACCCCAAATAGACCCACCAACAGTTACACCGTAAAATGAAAGTTACGTATGTAACTAAGGTTCTATGAATCCCGAATGACCGCCAGAGGCAGTGCTTTAAGCACTGAATGATTCCCTTCGCACATGCGCAGTTCGAGCATTTGTACCAAAATAGTCACGCGTGACCCCAGGATGAACAGGAGGAGGTTATTTCTTTCACCGGTCACCGAGGGTTCAGTCCCTACAGAACTTTCTCGCGAGAACACGAGGGTTCTGAGTGACGGAGTGCTCTGGTGGTCATTCGGGATTCATAGAACCTTAGTTACATACGTAACTTTCGTTCTATTTCATCCCTTCTGACCGCCAGAGGCGATGCTTTAAGCACTGAATTACCAGCAAAGTCACAAGGAACCCCAATTACAAACCTCAAAGGGCTGAATCGGAGGACTCTGGAAGGAGAACCACACCCAATGGGTGGGGAGTGGCCACGTTCACCCTATAGAATCTTGAGAACGTGCCTGATGACGCCTACAAGGCAGCAGAGCAGATCTCCTCGAGGGGAACTCCTCTAAGGGCAGCCCATGAAGTGGAGACACTCCTCGTTGAGTGGCACTGTATCCTGGATGGCGTGGGATGGTTACTAGCCTGATAGGCGTGGCTGATCGTGTCTACGACCCAGTGGGACAGGCGCTGCTTTGAAAGAGAGCTGCCTTTATTTGGGCCACCATAACATACGAATTGCTGATCTGACCGGCGAATTCATGCAGTGTCTCCGATATAGGCCCTGAGGGGGCCCGCACCGGGCACAACAGCTCCAGCTTGTCTGTCCTCTCTCCCGTAGGAGGGCTAAACTGGGCCCGCCTAATAGGCTGGTTCAGGTGTGCTGTCGACAGTACCTTTGGTAGGAAGGCCATGTTGGGCCACAGAGTGACACCTGATCTGTCTGGGTTCCACCTCAGACACGAATCGCTCATTGACAGGGCATGCAACTCACCAACGCGCTTTGCCGAGGTGATGGCTATGAGAACGGCTGTCTTGCAGGACAACCACTTCAATTTCGTGCATGACAAGGGGCTCAAAAGGAGCCTTGCATAGGGAGTCCAGTACAAGATTGAGGTCCCATGCTGGTGCTCTTGGGGCTCTCTGAGGATTTAATCTCTGAGCCCCCCTGAGAAAGAGCGACACCAGACGGTAGCTTCCCACTGTGCAGTTGTTGACCCCAGTGTGCTGGGAGGACATTGCTGCCATGTACACTCTTAACGTAGAAGGGGTCTGGCCCTTATCGAGGAGACCTTGCAGGAACTCCAGGATTGTGGGCACCGGGCAGTGAGCTGGGTCCTTGCCCCGGTCCCTACACCAGTTAGAGAACAGCTTCCACCTGTTCTTGTACTACATCCTGGTGGATGGTGCCCTCGCATTCAAGATGGTATGTTGAACTGTCTCTACACAAAAGCTCAGCAGCGACTCGGGCCCCCCAACGGCCAAACGCACAGCTGGAGGCGTTGTGGGTCTGGATGCCATAACCGCCCCCCTAGCTGCGAGAGCAGGTCCGTCCTGGCAGGGAGGCGCCATGGCATCCCATGACAGAGTTGGTGGAGGAGGGGGAACCATATTCGCCCTGGCCAGAAAGGGGCCACCAGGAGAACGGTGTGGCCCTCTTGAGCTACTCTCCGAAGGACCTGGTGAATTAGATGGAGAGGTGGGAAAGCATAGAGAAGTGCTCTCGGCCAGGGGTGGGAACACGCGTCTTGGCCCAGAGGGCTGGTTGTCTCCGCTAGGGAGAACCAGAGCGGGCAGTGGGTCGACGCCTCTGAGGCGAAAAGATCGACCCCTGCCCTGCCGAAGCGGCTCCATGTGGTATGCACCACGTCTGGGTGAAGGCGCCATTCTCCTGATGGAGGCTTCTGGCGGGAGAGAAGGTCTGCCACCTGGTTCTGCTCTCCCAGTATATGCATGGCCTGCAGGCTCATCAGGCAAGGGGCTTCCCATGTCAGGAGGTCCCTTGACACGAGTAGCAGCTGCACAGATTTTGTACCGCCCTGATGGTTTATGTGGTATACGGTCGAAGTATTTTCCGACCGAACAAGAACATGTCTGCCTGCCAAATAAGGCAGAAAGTGTCTTAGGGCCAAGTGCACCGCATTTAGCTCCAGCACATTGATGTGGTTGCTGTGATCTGCCACAAACCACTGTCCCTGAACTGTCCTGCCCTGCCACACTGCGCCCCAGCCCAAGGGGCAGGCGCCCGTGGCAAGGGTCTCCCTGCGGGATGGGACGGCCCCCATAGGGACACCCCTTACAATGTAGGCCCTGTCTCTCCATGGGGCTAGAGCAAGGAGGCACTGCCATGACACGAGAATCTTCCGGTGCCTGTGTCCCTCTGGGTCTAGGCGGAAACTGTTCAGCCACCTGCCACCTGTTCAGCAGGCCCAGCGGCACGATGGCCGCAACAGACATCAGCGTGCCCAAGAGGTGGAGGAAGGTGAGGAGCGGCAGTCGCCTGCCTCTCTTGAAGGCTGGCAAAAGCCTTAAGATGCTGTCCACCCGGCTGGGGGACAGACGTGCCACCATTGTTCTGGTGTCTAGGGCCAGATCGATAAAGGTTATTCTCTGGGACGGTACCAGGCAGCTTTTCTCTGCATTTACCTTGAGTCCGAGGCTCGCCACATGGGACAGGAGGTGTGATGTCTCCTCGGCTACCTGCACCTGGGATGGAGCGCAGATCAGCCAATCGTCTAGATATGGCAGTATCTTGGTGCCCTGGGACTATAGAGGTTGGAGTGCAGCTGCCACTACCCTGCTGAACACTCTCGAGGAGAGGGAGAGCCCAAATGGGAGCATACGGAATTGCCAGTGGCGGCCTCTGTAGGCAAATCACATGAACTGGCCGTGTTGCCTCACAATGGGGACATGAAAGTAAGCGTTTTTCAGGTCGACAGATGTGAACCATTCGTTGTGGACAATGGACTGTGGCACATCCGCTGTAGTCAACATATGGAAAGGCAAGGTCTTTAAGTACCTGTTCAGTCCCCTCAAGTCCAGGATGGGCCGGAATCCACCGGTCTTCTTCATGACGAGGAAGAGGGGTCCACTGCCTCGATGGCACCCTTGGCCAGGAGGGCGGATAGCTCCTGGTTGAGAGCGAGGGCTTTTGCTGGGTTGGCAATGATGGTAATCTTGACCCGGCTGGCTGTGGGGGGCCGGCGTCGGAACTGCAGCCCATACCCGTGGCTTAAGGTGGTAACAACCCACGGGTCTGAAGCTTGAGCAGCCCAGAGTCTGAGCTGCTGCTGTGTAAAGTATCCGACGGCCACCCCCCCGGGCTCAGCGTCTGCGCTCCCAGGGTGGGGGGTCCACCAGGGTCCGGGGCTCGAAACTGCCTAGAAGGCAGGCGGCCGGAGTCCCGAGAGTCCCGGGTCTGCCTCTGCATAGGCCGCTGAGGATGCTGATCCCTACACGGAGCTAGTGGCAGCCGGACTCCAGAGGTGCAATAAGGGACGCAATGCTGGGCTCGATGGCCGGCATGTGATCCAGGTCGACCCCTGCAGTGTCGTGCATTGCCGCCAGGGTACAACCATCTGCCGAGAGGCGGGAGCAAGCCTTGGAGTCTCTCCAGCAGGCGTGCAGCTCCTTTATATAGTCCTCTGCATGTGGGACGGCAAATGCAGTGGAGGTTGGCCTGCGCCTGAAGAAGGCGCTTGCAGGGGCTGGCTCCACCTGCTGCGGTATAAGCAGACCTAATCACTCCAAGGCCATCCGCAGGATGGTGCGCATGGAGTCGTCCTCCTCTGGCAACAAAGTCTGAGCTGAGGAGTGAGAACCCTGATCGTACACCTGGGAGACCCTGTCTCCCTCGCCGCCATCACGGTCATCATACTCGCGGAAGTGAGTAGCCGATGCCGCGGGACTAGCCCTCGGGGGCCCACTCAGCATGGGCTGAGTGGGCCCCCGAGCCCCCTCCGAAGGGGACCCAGGCTGGTGGGCCCGAAGCATGGACCTCATGCGGTCCAGCTCGGCAGAGAGCTGCTCCACCTTCGATGACAGGCGGGAGCGGCCAGACCTTGACATCCTTTTGGAAGCGGGGGCAGAAGTGGCTGCGTCGGCCCGGCGTTTTGAGCGCCTGGTCCTGGGCGTGGATGCTTGGCCCGATGGGGGGAGGCCGTCTCCACCCTGTGGCGGCTCTACCTCCGCCAGCCTGGCCAGCCTTGCCGCCCGAGGCATGTAGCTGCAGGTCATGCAGGGGTCCCCCTTAAGTGTCTCCCTGAGATGTTCGGGTCCAAGGCAAGCTGGGCAGAGGTCATGTCTGTCATCTGGCTGGAGGCCAACCTGACATGAAGAACAGTGGTGGGCGCTATCCATCACACTGAGCAGTCCCAACTAGACCAGGGCGCTGACACTACTGGTTGCCAAGCAATAGACGCTGTGAGCTGGGGGGAGGGAGTGCTCACGCTGCCTATACCAGCAGGGAGTTGCAATTCAGCCGACAGTAATGGCCCATGGCCAACAAAATTAGCCAAATAAAAATAAATAAATAAGTAAATAAATAAGGCTATTCAGCCAACAAAAGAGCACTAAGTGACCAAGGCGCTAACGCTATTGGCTATAATGGTCAATGCCAACAAAATAATGCTATTCAGCAAAAGAGCACTCAAAGTGACCAGGGCGCTATCCAGCACAAGAGCACTCAAAGTGACCAGGGCGCTAAAGCAACTGGTTATAATAATGGCCGACACCAAACAAATACAAAGCTATTCAAAAGGACACTTCTGGTAACCAGAGCGCTAACGCAACTGGAACCGATAGCCACTGAACAAACAAAAGACAGCTATACAACGCAACGGCTACTGAGGCTGACAACAACAAACGATAGCATTGGCTGACGCCGGATGGTGACAACCCGTACCGGCAGGAGGAGAACTAGCTTTGGCCTTTGTTTTTTCTTTTGACAACAAAAAGAACGAAACAAGCAGACCTTTAGCTACAGCAAGTAACCGAAGCGTTACGCTAACGCTCACGGTATGCAGCCATATGCAGGGGGGAGGCGGTGCGCACACGGCCTCTACCAGCATAGGTTGTGACTTGTAAAACAATGCAAGTTTGCTCAACAAGCTTAATGCAACAGCAACCTACCTTGTCCAGAGGAGAGGGGGACGACGACCCTTCCTTACCGGGCGAACGCCACAACATCCAACGAAGTTGGTGAAGCTCCGCTCAGTCGGAGATAAACAGTAGAGATAAAGAAACAACTCAAAGGAAGTCACAGTCCCTGGAGGGCGATTTTCGCTACCCTGACCTATGGCCACGGGACTACCAGCGACTTCACACACAAATTAAGGTAGGTTTGTTAGAAAAATGCCGCTCCCCGCAAGTTTGCGACCTGCGCGCGAGAAAGAAAAAGGGACTGAATCCTCAGTGACCGGTGGAAGAAATAACCTCCTCCGGTTCATCCCGGGGTCACGCATGACTATTTTTGTACAAATGCTCGAACTGCGCATGCGCAAGGGAATCATTCAGTGCTTAAAGCACTGTCTCTGGTGGTCAGAAGGGATGAAATAGAACTCATTATAGAGAGTCTCAAAGTATCAACGTGTGCGAATTTCTGTTTTTTGTTAATGTACAAATAAGAAGCCTGGTTTATAATAGCACACCACATAACTGACATAAAATGCTCTTTTCTCCCTGCCTGTATACTCAGATGCATATTTTTCCATCACAGTACCTGCAACTGGTTGATCTGGCTGAGCTGTGTCAGCTGGTTGAGCTGGGAGAGTTGGTTGAGCACAGCCACCTGCTGAGGGCCAAACAGGGGGTTCAGGCCTCCATTACCTCCAGGATACTTCAACAGGGATGGAGGGACCTGCAACAATCACGACTCCACGTGAGTTTACATCATAATTTAAAACACTTAACTTGATGAGACATTATCAAACAAAAAACACAAATCTAGGTCTTGTTTTTTTCCCCACACTTGGCACTGGAGCCGGCATCATTACTTAAAAAAATAATAATAATAAAAAAAACACGACAGTTCACTGTGTGCACCTCCATACCATTCAACTCTCATCCCCTACTCAAACACATAAATGAGGAAAGTCACCAAAGTCATTAGTTTAATACAACATTGATACAGACAATGGCTGAATACTGTCCCACATAATCTGCACGGCTGATAATAAGTTAACCCTTAGTATAGACTTTGGAAAACTGAATTTCAAAAACAAAAACATTAGTTGTATTGTGTAATGCCTTGAGTTGGGTACCGAAATTCACTCCCAAGTAGGAACTGAATCAGAGTTAGTGGGTACGGGTACCCATAAAAAAGTATTAATTTCAGTTCTGCTCATCGGTTCCTGGATGCGCTCATTTACACCCCTGCCTACAGATTTTAGATATCTGCCAGGACCTGTCAGTTGCGTGCCCATTGTGTGTGTGTGTGTATGTGTGTGTGTGTGTGTGAGACAGACAGAGAAGCTAGCAGGAGCTAGCAAACGCAGGTACTAGCAACGGAAGATGGACTGGGGAAAGCAGTCAAAAGTGTGGCTATATTTTCCAAGCGGCAATGGCGATGAACAGGGAAAATGCAACACATGTGGGAAGTTAATAAGTAGCAAGACAGGTTGCACTTCCAACCTCGCAAAACATTTAAGACTGCATGCATGCAACTTAAGGACTGTGCAGTGTTTGATGTCTTGTAGTGTGAGACATCGAGCCCCAGTGCAAGCACCCCCATGGCTGCCCCAACAAAGCCCCCCACTGAGGGAGAAACCCTGTTCACACTGGCATAAAGGGTCCAAACGACAAAAGAGAATCATTAGAAGCATTTTATCAGAGGCATCTCTTACTGAATGCACTTTATTTGATATCTTCATTTATGATGCTTCCGCTCAGAGTCCACAGATGTTGAACAGTGTTTATCATGGAGCTCTGAGACTTATCAGAAACTGTAGATTTCTTACTCACCACTGTGACTTAGACTCAAAAGTCAGCTGGACTTCTCTAAGCACACGTCGCCTCGGACACTGGTATGTGTTTATCTACAAAGCCGTTCTAGACATCGCTCCGGACTACCTTTCCTCATTGCTTGTCTTAAAAGAAGGATTACATAACTTGCTTTTACTTGACATTGTGCAGTTTTCTGTTCCAAAAGTACTCAGCTGGGAAAGAAGGCCTTTAGGTTTTCTGCGTGGAATAACCTGCAGACTGAATTTAAATGACAGAACCTAGTGTCTCTGAGTGTTTTTTAAATCTTTGGTGAAAACTCTTGAAAGCAAACTGTCAGTATGTCACTGCTTTAGCTGAGGTTTTATTTTGACTGTACTTGTTGCTGGTGTTGAGCTGTATGAGTCTGAGTGTGTTTTGATTTTTTGTTTTGAAACTGCTTTGCTGCCATTCTTGGCCAGGCCCCTCTTGAAAAAGAGATCTTTGATCTCAACGGGACTAGCCAGGTCAAATAAAAGTTAAATAAAATAAATAAATAAATAAGTTATACATATTTACATGATTTTGGCATGTTTAGTTAGCAAAAAAAGTATCTTTTATATATCAGGCATGAAAATGGGTCAGGGGTTGAAAAGATGGGGGGGGGGGTGAAGAGTGATTAAACATAAATATTAGTATAATAATCTCTTAAATACAACGGAGTATGAGGGCCACATTAAGAAAAAAAAATGTTTTTAAATCTTAGAGAATAAAGTTATTATTTAGGAGAATAAAGTCATTAATATATAAGAATAAAGTCCAAAAGTTACCTGTTGTGGAGGAGAGTTACTAAAATCAGCACTGAGGAGCATTTAGATGAATTGTACTTTAGTATAGGTTTCACAAACATGGAGATACTTAATCCTTTGGTACATGAGCGTTATAGCTGAGCAGATAAGGAAATAATCGTTCACTTTGTTATACAAGCATGAAATTTGGTAACCTCTGTAACAATGGAACAGGTAGAAATCAACTGAGTTCCTCCGAGAGTTCAGAAGCTGCGTGCCACGCGCAAGCCAATCAAATAAAGTATATCTACTGAACAGCCAATCAAAAAGCAGCATTGCTGTATCCGGGTAGATTTTGATATCTTGCGGTTTGACTACAGAGGAAGACAGACACTCGCCGAAATAGAGCAGGTTTTTATAAGGACGAGGAAGACCCGATGATTACAGTAAGTCAGTAACCTACACATGCAGAGACCTCAACACCTCATGGCAGATAAACTCGTATGATAAACTAAAGCCCTATGCTATTGCTATTAACAGCTGTATTGATGAATTTAGCCTCTGTACAGCCATTTCCCCTCCACAAAAGCAGCATTTCTCATATATTCTTTTTAAAGTTCTGACAGTGTAATAGTAGAGCAGACAAATGCACAATATAGCCTGAATCGTTCACTTTGTTATACAAGCATGAAATTTGGTACATATACTCTTCAAACCCCACTCTTTTCAAAAATAACGTTAGCCACGCAAAATTCCAAGATGGCGGCCTCAAGATCCAAGATGTCCGCCCAAAAATGTGTTTTTTCCTTTATAACTCAAAATGCCTTGATTTTAAGCCCCATAAATATATTGAAGTTGAATATAAAGTTGGGTATTGCAGACATTTTGGTACCTAGTACATCTCTCTATCTATTACGGTTCTTGAGATACATCATATAGATACTTGTACAAAATTGGGAGAGTAAGAAATTTGTAACACCAATTGTTGTTACATGCATATGGTTATATGAAAATATCATTTTCATTATCTGTTATTTTCATTAGGGATATAACATGAAACTGCCTGTCTAGTTACTCTATAACAGGGATGTTATATGTTATGTTCAACAATGTATGTGACTAGTTCTGAGAGAACTAGTGGGTAAATTTCCTGCTCATGCTTAGTAGCACTTGCACCTTGCCCAAGTTTCCTCAGGTGGGACTTTTCCCTGTAGAGGCAGAGTGGTACTTGAGCTCCTGGGCAATGGCATCTCCACCACTCAATTTAGCAAGAAGCTTACCATCATTAAGTGTATGTGCACATTCATGCAACCTTTGGTTCACCTTCATTGTCATAACCTGCCTGAGATCAGATGCAGGTGCTATTTTCTCACAGAAAATGCTTCAACATCACAGCTTTTTCGCCGCTGCTTTGTACTAACATCCTCAGGCTCACTGCTGGAACCAGCAGAGCTGCGTTTCCTTGCCCGATCCAATTTGGTGTTGTTAAACAACAGCCGACAGCTGAGGTGGTATTTAGCCTGATTTCGTCTTAATGAGCATCAATACCACCACCTTCATCCAGCCTTACTGGATCCAGGATCAATGGCATTTCCTGCATTTGATGAAACAAAGGTATGTTTGTAGCCAGCATGGCATAGCCATCATTTTCAAGGGTGTAACGAGTTGGAGGTGCCATGAGGTTTTTGTCTGTTCTGTCTTTTTGACAAAGACAGCATTTAGACCAATCAGTTTGTTTTTTTGTAAACATGGAATCTGCCATTTTGGGTTTTGATTAAGGCCGAGGGGTTATCCTTTTACCACATTAATCAAATAACACACATTCCTGTATGGGATACGACTAGGTTCAGTTTATTTTCAGGTAAACCTACACCTAGCCCGATCATTCATCCAGTGCCATTTAAGTCCCGTGTGATCTGTGCACCATCCGGGTAACTGAAGCCCCGTTACCCTTGGCTCGGCTCTCCCGCGCTGGCACACCCTATCAATTCAGGTGCGGCTACCTAACTATATCTACTAACTACCGACCATGGTTTACTAGCTAATGGATATGGGGCTGTTAGACAGCATTTCGGACACTAAACTAAACTATACTACAACTATACTACAGTCTAATAAAGCATTAGTTGTGACTGCAGTTCGTATATATACTGTAGATTAGCTGACACTGAACCCCATGCTGAGTTACACAGCAGTGATATCACCAGTGTGCCCTGGTTGTGTGCTGATATTCACTCTATTATATCTGCAAGCTTGTACTGTATAAACGTCTAAATTCTGTACTGCAATGGATGCATAGACCAAAAAATATGTGCACGCCAAAAGTTATTGTTTCATAGTCACGAAGATCGGATTACTTCAAGGCAATGGCGGCCATCTTGTACACCATCTTGGTTTTAAAATTTCATGTTATATCCCTAATGAAAATAACAGATAATGAAAATGATATTTTCATATAACCATATGCATGTAACAACAATTGGTGTTACAAATTTCTTACTCTCCCAATTTTGTACAAGTATCTATATGCTGTATCTCAAGAACCGTAATAGATAGAGAGATGTACTAGGTACCAAAATGTCCGCAATACCCAACTTTATATTCAACTCTAATATATTTATGGGGCTTAAAATCAAGGCATTTTGAGTTATAAAGGAAAAAACACATTTTTGGGCGGACATCTTGGATCTTGAGGCCGCCATCTTGGAATTTTGCGTGGCTAACGTTATTTTTGAAAAGAGTGGGGTTTGAAGAGTATATGTACCAAATTTCATGCTTGTATAATAAAGTGAACGATTCGGGCTATATTGTGCATTTGTCTGCTCTACTATTACACTGTCAGAACTTTAAAAAGAATTTATGAGAAATGCTGCTTTTGTGGAGGGGAAATGGCTGGAAATGGCTGTACAGAGGCTAAATTCATCAATACAGCTGTTAATAGCAATAGCATAGGGCTTTAGTTTATCATACGAGTTTATCTGCCATGAGGTGTTGAGGTCTCTGCATGTGTAGGTTACTGACTTACTGTAATCATCGGGTCTTCCTCGTCCTTATAAAAACCTGCTCTATTTCGGCGAGTGTCTGTCTTCCTCTGTAGTCAAACCGCAAGATATCAAAATCTACCCGGATACAGCAATGCTGCTTTTTGATTGGCTGTTCAGTAGATACACTTTATTTGATTGGCTTGCGTGTGGCACGCAGCTTCTGAACTCTCGGAGGAACTCGGTTGATTTCTACCTGTTCCATTGTTACAGAGGTGCAACTTTGTGGACATCACCATGTTCATATAAATGCGTGAGAAATACAATGTGTGGCGTGTGAGCGTATGAACGGGTGGGAATGCGTGTGTCACACGCTGAATGCGTGAGACCTGAGAGCCCTGCAGAGCACTAAACGCGATTTTGCACTTTCTGTCTTGTCTGTGATGCTGCTGTGACAAAAAAATTTCCCCCATTACGTTTTAATGAATCAATGAATAACATCAGCGGCGAAAAGGAGTGTTAAAAAGACCAGGGTTCATATGTTTTTATTTTGTCACAAAAGGCTTCAAGCATGGGCCAAAGCATAGGACAACAAGTTCTAGAACCTGAATGAAGTCATTAAAGGCACACGCTTTTGAATCCGTCCAACAGTAAGGAAAACTTGGATTATTTCGCCTTGTTGTGTACTTTCAACCGTGCTCCCGTCAGGGGGCATTCTACGTCAGGGGTGCATTCTACGGCACAACACCGGCGTGCCGTAGTCCTGCTTCTCGTTCTCGCAGCTTTGCAATGCTACCACAGGCTCTCCAACCACTCCAAGTACACGTGAAGAATGTGCGCATGATTGGAATAATGGAACACAGTTTGGCCTATGATTGGTTCTCGTCAGCGAAGGAGCCAGGAGGGTTTGCTGACCGTCCAAGTGTCATTTAAAGGGCCGATTTCTGAAGTGCTCAGTTTACGTATTAAGTCAATCACATGATAATAATAAAAAACAAATCTACCGACCCCGACCCCGATGTGTGAGCAGCGGTGTGTGAGATTTACCTGAGAGGGCAGGATGGGGGGAGGCACTTGATTACGAAGGTTGGGCTGAGGGGGGACCTGGGACTGGGGGCCACCTCGGCCCTGTGCTACGCTACTGCCACCCATCAAAGGGTTTACATTCTAGGGAGGAGGGACACAAACATGCACGCTTATAAATGAACTGACATGGTGCAATCATTTTCTTCCATTGAAAACACAACCACATGGATGAGACTTTTCAAAACAAATCCCATATCCTCTGCTAGATTTTGGCAAATGCAAACAAACATTAAAGTTCAACACCAAACCCTGTTTTCATCCGTAACCTGCTAAGATAACACCCCAGCTGTAGGATATACTTCTGAAAGAAGAGTAAGATTCTCATGGTAAGGCTTTTCTGGTCTGACGCTCAAGATTTATAGATGACATCCTCTTCATCCTCACCTGCCGAGTGCCCCCAGGACCAGAGTGGGAAGGAGATGGCCCAGAGTCAAGACAGGGGACAGGCTGAGCAGAAGTGGAGGGGGAAAAGCTCATGCTTTGACTGGAGGAGAGCTCATCGGAAGCTTGGCTATCGTAAGCAGAGGGGGACACAGACAGCTGAAGAAGCAAGGCCAGGTGCACAGCAGATGGATGGCAAGCACAGAGGGACAGGAAGCACCATCGGCAGCCAGAGAAGTGCAGAGAGGGAAGGAGAGAAGAGAAGGAAAAGAGTTAATTTTGCAGAAGTAGAGAGAAAGAATGGGGAAGAAACAGAAGAAATAAGCTGTAGGAGATTGTAAGAGAGAATAAAGAGTGAAAGATGGATGACTAACAGAAACAGGTAGGATAAAGAGAAGAAGGCACCAACAGATGAAAGATAAAAACAGAGAGAAGCAGAAGGAAGAGCAGCAGAGCCAAACAAACTCACAGCTTTGCACTACCCTTTACACATAACATTGTGACCAGACATGAAATCTTGAAAAGCTGATAATTGTTCTAGAAACTCTCCATGTGGGTGTGCTTTGGTTGACACCCAACAGGTCATGCAAAGAGCAGGGATTTCACAAAACATCCCCTTGAATGGTCTACATATTAAATGCAGTGGGTCAGAACAACCACTGGGGGGTGCTACGGTGTTGATAGTGCACTGCTCAGCCAGACATTTGCTTACGTAAACCCCTCCTCACCCACCTCATGATCACCACAGTGGCAGAGACCAAACATATCTGAACTTGTACAATAACACACCGTATTTGTTAACTGTCAAATCTCCATAAATGGGCCTGTGATCTTTTCTCCCACTTCTAACCAAAAATGTCGTATTGCTGCATACCTTGTCATAGTATGGGTTGCGATCCATGGCAGACTCTTTGTGGAGCTGGTGCCGGGACCCAGGGTTCTTCCCCATCATTCCATTGTAGTCTCCAATACTGCCCATGTCCATGCGCTTGTCCTGCATCATCCCTGCTCCTGTCTTCAGGGAGTCGTCAGGAGAGTCTCTCTGCAAGAAAAAAATTGAAAACAGACGGTGGAAACATATGAATTAAAATGATAAATATCAATGAAAGATTACTGATCACCCTGATGAAGACCCATGTATGCCACAATGCACTGGCTATTTAAGAAAGTGCATTTTAAATAAAGGCAGTTTAATTTTTACATTAATCATGTAGTTCGTACATTTAAATCCACTGTTAGGTCCAGCTACTGTTAAAGTTCAATAAGGAAGTTTAAAGCTCCTGTGTTTTTTGATATTTATAAAAATAGACAAATTCATTTTGATGCCTTTTTATTATATAGACATACAAACACGACCATCATTGATAAAACCAATGATTTTTGTGCTGTACCTATGTAAAAGCAGTTTAAGGCATCAGTGGTGCAGCTAAAAAAACACCTCTGTTTTTTAACATTTTACTCATTCAACATCTGCAATGGATGATACGTTTGATTGTCAAAAGTCCTCAGGATGAGATTCTTTATCAGATGACACTTAAAGGCATGTAGAACACAAGACAAGCAATGACTGATTTGTCCACAGGGGGCGCCAAAAGTGACACAAACTGGAAGCTCCTCAGAGGATTCTAGTATGCAAGTACCAGGCAAAATCAATATAAAGACAAGAGTATGTCCACCTTGACTACAATAGATGTTGATATGCAGTTAGCTATCAGTTAGTTACTACTGCACTTCTTTCCAATTGACCTATCATGCCTCATACCAAAATTAATCAATAAGTTTGGAGGCGGGTAACTGAAACTAACAAGAAGAAAAGGCTGCTTACAGAGAAGTTCATGGTGTTGAACTGGTTGATGAAAGGTTTCAGCCAGGGTTCATCCTGTTTGTTGACTGGTTTGTTCATCTGAAATGTTGAAGAAAAGCTTACATAAGTCACAAGAGTGATTCATTTTCTCTAATTCACATAAAATATACAATGTTTATTTGATAGGTGTTTGGAATTGTTGCTGTTTCTCATGGGAATAATATGTGCAAAGATGAGGTGCACATACTTTGTTGGAGCCTCTGTTTTTGTAGTTCCAGGTGTTTTGATCATGAGACCTGCTGTCCTGTTGGCTGTTACTCCACATGCCAATCTCCACCTCCTCTTCCTGGTCCCAGCTATTGCTCATAGAGACCTCATCACCACACCATGTCTCCATGGGCTTTGGACCTGAAGATACAAGGGAGGACACTGCAAATGAGTGGCTGAGTTGATACAGCTATTTAACTTTTTTGCCGCTCTCTTCACAGTTGCTTTCCATAAAAACCACAGTGCATGGATCACTGCTCATCCCTTTACAGTTTTCAAAATAACGCAGATTTCTTCTCTATTTCCATGTTCATGTGTGCACCTACTAGGCTTATGCTGGCCGCCCCATCCAGACCCAGAGTCTCTGCCACTCCTACTGGGTTCATCCCAGGTAGAGCTTGTGTCCATGGGCTTCCCCCAGGCAGATGTCCCGTTGTCCACTGTCACAGGTGGAGCGTTAGTTCGCTCACCCCAAGTGGAGGACTCCTTCTGTTTAGGGTAAGGCTCACCCCAGCCTGGAGAAAAAAGGGGATGCAGCATTGAAATAAAGATCCACTCACTGAGGTTTGTCTTAGACCAAACACTTTTAGCATCGCCTTCTCACACAACAATGATCTTTCAATTGATCTGCTTTTGCTCTCAAAGGGAAAGAAATCTGACAAAACTAAAAGTCTAACAATGTGACATTTCCTCTCCCCACAGCTCCTTTCTGTCCAAAGGGGCATGTCAAGCTAGTTTACACATTCAGAGTTGAAAGGTTTTAGGCACTGGGTGACCTTAAATGTTTACAGTCTTTTTCAGGACCTCTCACATGTTTTCATATACACATCAATGCTTCTCTGCTGGAAACAGACAAACAGGCTTGCAGAGAGAACCCTGCTCATGTCCCTGGGGAACCCCTTATTGACCTGCTTATGTAAGTGCTGTTTACTTATACTCTTGTAGAAGTGTAGATGTGTGCATGCACTACTGTGCACTTTCAAATGTCAGAATATGTTCACACAGTGCAAGCATGGGTTCAAAAGGCTCCTGTTACAGCTCCCACCTAGACCTGCTACTTTTTTTCCTCCACAGGAGGCACTTGGGGAGATGCCAGGGATGCCTCCCTACAAAAATAGGACAGATCATGGGGAGCCTGAGGCTCCAGTGTCCCTCATGTGACCGTGTTCAAAACAACACAAAGAAACAAATGCAAAAAACAGACCCGAGATGGTAGATGTACATTCAAGTGTGTTACATGTAAATGTTGGTGTTTTAGTTTGAATGCATTGGCACACCTGAAGCCCTGACCTTGTTCTGTCTTTATAAAAATAACAGGAGATCTTATCCCAGGATGAGAAGCAGTGTGAGAGCAAGTTATAGATTTGACTTAATTATCTATTTAAGGAGACAAAAAAGTTTTTTTAAAAGATGGTCATAAGAAGTGTAATATTTGTACTGACCAACATTTTTTTTCAACGATTTACTCTCCGTTTTAATCTTTTGTTCCCAACTTAATGGTTCTTGAAATGAATTATTATCTACAACCTGATGATTTCTCTCATTACGGCAGCATGCTGCTTCGCCCCACCCTAACTTGCCATCCACTTTGCTGCTCCAGTTAGCTCACTAGACACCAACTCTCAATAACCGTATTAGCCCTTCCCCTCCCTTTCTGCTCAATCTGAACCCACTTCCAGAGAAAAGCTGCCTTCCTCTTTTATGTCTCCTATCTTACATTGGAACTATTCCTATTGCTAAGTCACCAGACTCTTCCTCTACCTCTCATGCTCCCTCTCTTTCTGTTTCCCTTAAACCCAACGAAAGCCATTGTTTCTACAGCAAGCAGAGCTGGTGGGTGAAGGGAAGAGGAGCAGGGGAAAAAGAAGCGAACGAAAAAAGAGAGACATCGATGCTCTTAGCATTCCAAAGGGATGACTCAACCAGCTTTACAAAACGCCCTAAACATAGACAGCACCGCGGGGAGATGGGAGAGAGTGGCTGAACATGTTTGTTTCTTTCTCCATGCTTCTGTGCAAATCACGTATGCTGCTGATTACATTTGAGTTTTAAGCTTGAAATCTTTGTAATCCTGATTTTAGTTTTCTCAAAACTAGAGTACGGGTGGGACTTGCACCTTTTGTCCATACTCAACCCATTTCATCTGGGACAGCACATACGCATTTCAACCTTCCAAACTGGGAGCGTGGCTGCGCATTTCTACTCAGAAAGCTGGGTACATGTAGGTATTTTAACCCTTCAAGCCGGGAGAAGCGTGTACGCATTTCAACCTTCGAAGCTGGTGGCGCCACTGCGCATTTCTACTCTTCAAGCCGGGGCGCGGGTACGCCATCTTGTAACATTCTGTCGTTTTTCAGTCATTTCTGGAGTCATGGCAAATCAAATCATCATAGCTGTCTGCCTCTGATAGGCTAATAAAGCGATCAGATTCATGCTCAGACCTTGCTACGTGTTTCGTGAGTAAAGTAAACAATGACGGAGGCAGAGAGCAGCTTTGGAGAAGAAGCATCCAGCAATGCGAACAACCTCTTAATACTGATTGCTTTGGCTCACACTATCTGTGTTTTCTGTGAGTGTTGCATGACTTTGGGTGAGCACAGACATGAACACACTGTCAGCCACATATTTATTTTTTAGTGCTGCTTTTGTACTGGCACCATACTAGGCCAGCTGCATACCCTTTCAACACTTTTTTATTTTTACATTTGTATTGAATGGACACTTTATCATGACTGCCACTTGTTTTACAGAAAGCTAATAGTTCGTTATTCGCCAGTGCAGAGTCTTTACTTTTATTTATACAGCTGCTTTATTTCATTTGAGTTTGTTTGTTCAAGGTTTTCAAAAATGTGATGAAGGTTCGGAAAAATAAAAGATAGTTATCTTGAAAGCCACATGTATAAGCTCTCAAATACTTTTTGAATTCTGTTTCTATCTGCTACAGAGGCCGAGATATCAGCTTTTTTGTAAACCTCAACACTTAAGAAAACCTCAGGATCTGGGGGCCCTTCTTAAAACTGCCCTCAGGATTTCAGAGGCGTGTCTCAGACAGGGTTCAGGTCTTAATGGGTTAAGGCATACAGACTATACCAGGAGGCTTGCACTGACATGCTGCTCGTACTGTTTTAAGTACTGGCTCACATCCCAGCACTTTTACATTTATGAAACCTGAACTGCCATCAGATTAACCTACAGAGCAATGAAACCTTCAGTCATTTCACCTCAGCAGAACCATCAATTTGAGATCTGATGAATGAAAGAAGAAAAAAGACACTGTCAACTTAACTCCCGCATTGTGATAATTTTAGGAACCGTTTTTCTATTACTCTGTTTGGGTTTACACTTAAGGACACAAGTGAGAGTGTATGGTGACAATAATCTTCATGCCTATGAGACAGAGTGTACATTTGATATTCCTCTGTTTAATTGTGTTTTCACATAAGAGGCACTTTGAAGGTCAGTATGACTCTCGACACTTGGGTTATTTTTATCTTTTTTTTCTCTCAAAATAAAATTTTTTCAATAAGTAACAACACTAGATAATAAATTTAGTTCAAATGACTGACCAGAAGTGCAGCTTTTGTCCTGTCCCACAGGGTGCATGGGCTGAGGGGGATGCTTGGAGCTGTGTGCTGGGTGGGACTGGTGCTGAGAGGGTTGACCCATAGCTTCCTGACCTGAATTACCAGTCCTGTTCCACATGTTGACAGATCCACTGCTGTACTTACCTACACAGAAAGTTTGACAAAGTAGTGAGAAGCCAAGGAATCCTTTGTATTCTGTTCAGGATTCTTACTACTTCTGAAAAAATTCATGTTTACCAGGGTCTCCCCAAGCTGCAGTCCCATCATCGATCTCCATCCTCCGGCGAATCGACTCAGGGGAAGGCTCTTCCCACCCAGATGACACTTCCTCCTTCTGACCTACTGTAGGCATGGGGCCTCCCAGCCAGCCTGAGGCAGAAAAATAACATGAGATCTGAGTCATCAATTGTATGTCCTCCCACTTGTCTGTCTTACAATACATTGCCAGAAAACTCTTGAGAAAAGAGCAAGAATCCCACCTCTTGCCATTTGTTGTTACAGTCTTCCGAGTACAACAGTAAGAACCACAGAGACTGACACCAAAAGGACCCTGGCATAAAAACTGAGTGCTTATGGTTTAGAATGATCATGTTAACTACCTGTGGGCTTGTTTGATCCTTGATTGCCTCTGGACATGTTGGATTCAGAACCTTTTCCCCATTCGTTGGAGGGCTTGGAATTTGGCTCACCCCAGCCTTGGCTGTTACTCTGAAGATTGGGTTTGGGGATTGGGTCGCCCCAGTTGGAACCTGGGTTTGGAGTGCTTTGGTTAGGAGTATTGGATCCTCCACTCCCAACCCAGGTGTTGCTGCTGCTGGTGTTGGTTCGGCTTGGCTCGCTCCAACATCCAGAGCCCGAGCGGTCGCTGTCACTGTCCCAGCCTACCGAGCCTGCCCCTTTCTGGGGCTCCCCCCAGTGGTTGCCTGCTCCTTGTCCACCACTGCCCCAGCCCTCACTTCCAGTTCCACTGCTGGAACCCCAACCCTGCTGTGGTTTAGGAGCATTAGTCCACGTATTGGACCTACACACAAGCAGTCAAGTATCACTGTTATTTATATTTCACTTAAAACAATCAGTTTAACACATCTATACCTGGTACAGCTAGATTCTAAAATATGAATTACCTGTCATCTTTGTTGACATTATTGCTCCAGGTGTTACTGCTGCTGTTGTTACTTTTGTAGCTGGGTCCACTGTCCCAGCCACTCTGCCCAGTACCTCCTGCTCCTGTGGGTTTGTTGTCCCATCCAGAGGTTGGTCGCTCTCCCCAGCCAGAGCCTCCTGTACCTGGGCCTGGCCCCCCACCCCAACCTGTGAGAACAAGAAAAGGAAATTGTTAAATTTTGTGTTTTGCAATATTAATTTTGCTCCATAGTTTTGACATTTTTTGGGCGTATCTCTGGTGCGCATGGACACACAGGTCTTATAACATTACAGCCATACCTTCAGAAGTCTGGGAAGGTCCTACTGGTGTTTGTGTGCCCCAGCCAGAGCCTCCACTGTTTGACTTTTGTTCATCTCCTCTGGGAGCCTGTTGCTGATTGTTTGGAGAATTGACATCCCAGGCAGTGTTTTGCCTTATGGGTGTCTGCCCCCATCCAGTGTTGGACAGAACCCTTGGGTCAACATCAACCCGAGACACGTCTGATACAACTGGTGCAATGTGGTTACCTTTTCTTCGGTTTCCCCCTTTAGGCTGGTCTCTGTCTGAGCTGGATCGGCCACCTGAGCTTTCACCGCTTCCCTCGCTTCCTCCTGAGCGACCCCAACCTGCAGTGACATTTCCCAAGGTGTGGCCTCCACCCCCTCCACCTCCCATGCCCATGGCGTCATCCTCCAGGCTCTTCCAGCCATTGTTGGCAGAGCTTCCTTTATGACTTCCAGCATCTGAATGGTTGTTACCAGGAGCTGCTGATCCCCACTCTCCATTCGACATCTTATTGTTAGAATTGGAGGAGGAGGATGAGGACGAGGAAGAAGATGATGCACTGCTCCCCCAGGGGCGAGGTATCCCTGCTGGAGGGCCCATTGTGGTTTGATTCCCAATTCCTGGTGTTTGGCCTGCAGAGCTGGGCACTTGATATAAGCCCACTCCCCAGGACATGTTATTCTGGGGCTGGTTTGGGTTATTGGCAGGCCCCTGGTCCCAGCGTGGGGCCCCAGTGTTATTGTGGTTATTATTACTCTTGTTAGCAGCAGTGGAGGAGATTTGGGGGTTCCCTGTCTGCATTAAGATAGGGTTTTGGGGGTTCACAGTGTCTGTATTTGGGTGGCCCTTGTCTCCAGGGTAGGTAGTTGCGCCCCATGGCGTACCGAAGGCCCCAGATCCTCCCAACTCCCCTTGGGGTGTCTGAGGAGCTGATGAGGGGATTCCATTGGCCAGCATACCCCCGTTTCCTCCTCCAATAGAGCCCCAGGAACAATCCCCGCTGAGCTGGGGTGAGGCGGTAGAGTTTGGTGGACTAGAGGTCATTGTGGCATTAGTAGTAGTAGTAGTATTCATCATAATAGTGTTATTTGGTCCATTGGATTCAGTGTTAAGGTTGGTAGGCTGTAGGCCACCATTTCCACTGCTGCTGCTTCCTAACACCTTGCTGCTTGCTGTACCATTATTCACCTCAGTGTCTTCCATCATACTGCTGTTGTTTGGAGCTGCCATGGCACCCCAGCCCAGCATGGAGGCCTGTGGGGTAGTCATATTCAGTTTGGAACTCATCCCCTGAGCCTGTTGAGACCGTTGGCCCTGGGACACTGGGCTTGGGGTTGGATTCTGTGGCCAGGCACCGTGGTTGGCATTTGGGTTCAAAGTGTTTGGGTTTAACCCTCCATTGATGCAGGGGTTGTTTCCACCGGTGGGGATCATGTTGCTGCCTGACTGGGTGCCCCATACACCACTGTTATTGACGGGCTTGTTGTTATGGATACCCATGTTATTGCTGCCAATACTGCTGGACCCCGCCATGGAGTAGTGGGAGGGCCCAGAAATCTGATTATTTCCATTATTTGCACCACTAATGGTTCCTATCCCTCCACCAATCATCTGGCGGCTGTTTCCATTGCTGTCTCCATTCACTGAAACACCAGCCATCATGGGGGAAGTCACCAAAGAAGAGGAAGGGGAGGAAGCTGCAGAAGACACAGCTGTAGGGGCATTTGCTGACATCATCATCACTGCCGTCACAGCGGCAAGGTTTTTCTCTGAGCCAATTGAGGAGCTAGAGTCTGCGTCCATACATTCTGATGCCAGCTCAGGGTCTGATCCTGACCCGCAGCCAGAGGAGGAAGAAGACGAGGAACAGGAGAATGAGGAGGAGGAGGGAGGCCAGACAGAGGAGTTCGTTGAAGACAGGTTGTTGGGTTTGTCGGTGCTTCCATCCACTAGGACTTTGCCCCAGTTGCTGTTGCTGTCACTGCTGCAGGGAGAGCCAGAGGACCAAGGGGAGGGCTCATACTGCGAGTCCAAGCCAGGACGCTCCAAACCTGGGGAGAGAATAGGAGCATGTGGCAGATGGTACTTTTAGATGTTTTTAAATCTATGTGGAAAAATGTTGTTTGACTCAAGAATTGGGCAAAGGTAGTGTGTCATGATGGTTAATAAATGATGCGACCCAAAGACATATAAAATGTGGCAACAGATGCATTTTTAAATTTCCCTGAATTGCACTAGCTTTGATTTTTTTTTTAAATTCTCTCCAACTTTCATCTGCCCAACTGTTCTGGATGTGATCAGTGCCAGGTTAGCCTGAGCACAGCTGCAGACACTTTGTCACCACAGCAGGACCCAAAATCATGCCAAAGCTATAAACAAGGATTCAGGAAGGCGCTGGACAACAATCAGCTGGAGAGGAGAGGTGGAGAGTATAGGAGCAGATGTCGATGGAGGGTGAAAAGTGGAGTAGAGGACAGAGGGAATGGGAAGAGGCGGTGCAATCCAAATGATGAGAGACCTGCATCATGCATTGGATTTTTTCCAAATGTATTAAAAGTATGTTAGAAATCAGCATGCTGTCCCAGCATTACTTAATAGACGCCAGAGATCACTTTGCACTTGTTTTGCTGATTTTTGCTCGTTTTGTGCTAATTTGGCACCAATGACAAGTACCTTGTTTCCATTCAGTACCAACCCTATGTGCCTTCATTTATCACTGTTTTTTCTGTGATAATATTTAGATACTGCTGATCCCTACTCCTAAAGCAGGTTTTAAATCAGGGCAGCAGTAAATATGGAAGGCATTTTTTTGGAGGTTGGGGATTTGAGATGGAGCAGGGGCTAACTTCGTTCTTAAGAAAATGATTGGGGTGACAGTTAAGTTCAGCTGGTGGAGCAGGCGCCCCATGCACAAAAGCTATATCCCTTGTTGCACTGGTTGGAGAACTGGTTTCAAGTCCCAACCATAGACTGTATATACTATGGACAACTTGGTTCTGCCTCCCGCCTGTGTACGGATTAAAAGCCAAAAAGCTCTCGGTATTTCCAGGATTTTCTTCATTTCCTGAAACCTAGCGCTGCGCAGTAGCGATGCACGCATTCGGGCGCGCAGTCGCCAAGAGTCGCTGTGATGACGCTTAGCTCAAACAGCGTATCCCCTGGGTGAGCTACGCAATCTTTGTACGCCCAGAGGCTGTATTAAGTGTCAATCATAGAAAACATGAACCCCCTAATAACTTTTAAAAAACGGAGCTTCACAGAAAAAAAAGAGGACTTAAGCACAAAACAGTTTTATTGTAACTACATGTCAACATCACAAGCAGGGGTGAGAAACATTTATGTTCTGTGTAATAAATTTCCAAAGTTTGTCCACAGCCCCATAAGCTTTGCTGGCGGAGGCGGGATTTATGACCTATACTGCAGCCCATCAACAGAGGGTGCTGTTCTCGGAGTGGCTTCACCCAGCAAGGAGGCAGACGGTGTCCATTCTATATACAGTCTATGGTCCCAACATGATCAAATGCATATCATCCCCCACTCTCTCTACAAGTTAAAGCCCAATATGTTACAATGACCTGAAATGTAATAAAAAAAGTTAACAAAAGCCAAATTGTAATAACTGGTCAATAATGTAACAAAAGTTTTGAGGCTGAAATATATAAAAAAAAAACCTACAATGAAACCCAAAGTGTAAAAATTGACCCACATTGTAAGAAGTTGTAAATTTTGAGCAAAAAGTTTCATTATCGGTCAGTTATTACATTTCGGATTGTATTTCCCTTTTTTTTTTATTACATTTTAGATCGTTGTTATCAGGCTCTAACACACCCTTTTATACCAGCCATCTCGCTTCCTCAGCTCTACATTTCTCTAGATGAGCCATCAATTGATAGGCACAATGTATCAAGCTGTGGTCAGACTGGGTCTATCAAGTCATTCAATCACAAAGAAGAGAGACAATTTTCTGTGTTGGATCAAGGATCAGATGCAGCAAAAGGGGAAAGGAAAGAAAGAAATGTGTAGTCACCTGTTTGATTAGGGGAGTGGCTGACGGAATCCCGAATGGGAGCCATGCCTGGAAACAGAGAGAGGACAGACTGTCAAACAGACTTGGAGGGAGTCAGAGAGAAAGAGCCAGCAAACATACATGGCGGGGGGGGGTTAGAAATAGTCAACACTGAAAGAACATCCAATAATCAAGCAAACAGAGAAGAGAGTAGGGGTGAAATCAAAGAATTCAAAGTAAAGGTGCCTTGCAAGTGGAAAGTATTGGTTAATGGACCTAGATAGCTGCTACTTAACTTTAAATTTACAATGAAAGTGATGTTGATTTAAGTTGCACAGGAGAAACACTGTCTCTCCCCACATCTTTGAACTGACAAGTGAGTTGTCTAAGCGGAAATTTATTTGTGGTGTCTTTTTACCCATGAAGCATAACTAACAATAATGTTATGTTCAAAATACTGATGAATTTCCCATTTGTGATGCAACTCTGTTAATAATAATGGATTAAAATAATGGATTTGTATAGAAAAGAAATGCCCCACATAACAAAACTGATATAAGGTAGAAGCTGCTCTAAATACAGTGGATATAAAAAGTCTACACACCCCTGTTCAAATGCCAAGTTTTTGTCATGTAAAAAGGTTACATAAAGATAAATATATTCACAACTTTTTCTGTCTTTAATGTGACCTATACCTGTACAACACAATTGAAAAACAAACAGAAATCTTTCAGGGAGGTGAAGTAAAAATAAACAACCGAGATCATGTGGTTGCATAAGTGTGCACACCCTTTAATAACTGGGGATGTGGCTGTGTTCAGATTTAACCAATAACATTCAAACTCAGGTTAAATTGGAGTCAGCACACACCGGTCACCAATTGAAGTGCCTCCGATCAACCCCAAATAAAGTTCAGCTGTTCTAGTAGGCTTTTCCTGACATTTTTGTAGCCACATCTTTCAGCACAAGCCATGTACCGCAGAGAGCTTCCAAAGCATCAGAGGGATGTCATTATTCAAAGATATCAGTCAGTTGAATGCTACAAAAGAATTTCCAAGGAATTAAATATCCCATGGAACACTGTTAAGACCGTCATCATCAAGTGGAGAAAATATGGCACAACAGTGACATTACCAAGAACAGGACGTTCGTCTAAAATTGATGATAAGACAAGAAGAAAACTGGTCAGGGAGGCTACCAAGAGGCTGACAGCAACACTGAAGGAGCTGCAGGAATTTCTGGCAAGTACTGGCTGTGTAGTACATGAGACAACAATCTCCCACTGTCTTCATACGTCTGGGCTATGGGGTAGGGTGGCAAGACGGAAGCCTTATCTTACAAAGAAAAACATCAAAGCCCGGCTTAATTTTGCAAGACATCTGAAATCTTCCAAACGCACGTGGGAAAATGTGTTGTGGTCTGATGAAACCAAAGTTGAACTTTTTGGACATAATTGCAAAAGGTATATTTGGCGCAAAATCAACACTGCTCATAACCAAAATAACACCATACCCACAGTGATGCATGGTGGCAGCAGCATTATGCTTTGGGGCTGTTTTTCTTCAGCTGGAACTGGTGCCTTAGTCAGGGTGGAGGGAATTATGAACAGTTTCAAATACCAGTCAGTGTTGGCACACAACCTTCGGCCTTCTGCTAGAAAGCTGAAGATGAAGAGGAACTTCATCTTGCAGCACGACAATGACCCAAAGCACACATCTAAATCAACAAAAGAATGGCTTTACCGGAATAAGATTGAGGCTTTGGAATGGTTCAGCTAGAGCCCAGACCTGAATCCCATCGTACATTTGTGGGGTGATCTGAAGAGGACTGTGCATAGGAGATGCCCTCGCAATCTGCCAGATTTGTAGCGGTTTTGCTTAGAATAGTGGGCAAATATTGCCACATCAAGATGTGCCACGCTGACAGACTCCTACCCAAAAAGACTGAATGCTGTAATAAAAGCCAAAGGTGCTGCAACAAAGTATAACTTTAAGGGTGTGCATATTTGTGCAACCATGCTATTTTTTTTTTGTTTTTCAATTGCATTGTACAGGTTATAGGTTTAAAGATGGAAAAAGTTGTTAAGATATTTATCTTGCTGTCATTTTCTTACATCACGAAAACCTGGCATTTGATCAGGGTGTGTAGACTTTTTATATCCACTGTAAGTCTTTCAAAATGCAAAAAATCAGGTTTTATTTTTCAGATGACTCATTCTTAAAAAGAACAGCCGACACTCTAAATATATTCCAGTTTTAAGCAAGTAACTATCACAAGAAGATAGAGGATACATATACTTACTTATCGGAACCTACAAGCAAGAACAAACCCACATTTTAACATTCAAATGAGACAGTCAAATTCTTTTTGTTAAACCAAGTGTGTGTGTGTGTGTGTGTGTGTGTGTGTGTGTGTGTGTGTGTGTTGACTGGTAGACAGTGTGCTTGTGTGGGCATGTGTGTCGGTCCAGTGTCGGTGTGTCGGTTCAAATATAATTGAAAGAAACAGCTCTTTTTACAGTCTTTCCAGTGTTTACCTGTAAGTGCAGCACCTGGCTGCAGGTCCTGGCTGGGCAGGAGGGCGTCCCCGCGATCAGTGGAGGACAGGTGACCCCTGGTTCCCAGGTCGACAGAGGGGAGGTCAAAGGTCAAAGTTCAGAGGGCACAGCCTCAAGGGTCTGAGGTGAAGAGGCAGGGCTTGTCAAAGTGGGCAACAGGCTGATCAGGCCTCCTTGGCATTGCTGAGGACTGTTTGTTTGTGTGTTTGTGTGTGTATGCGCAGGTGAGTGTGGGGAAGGGGAAGGGGGGGATGTGGTATAGGTTGAGGACTCTGCCTTCTTGGTTTGCTCTGGCACTGCAGAAATAGAAAAAAAAGAGAGGAAACAGAGATGGTTAGTTTGATATTAGGGCTGGGGTGATTCATCGACGTAATCAACTACAAAAATTCATCGACGCAAAAAACAAGCGTCGACGCGTCCCATGATGACGTAGACAAAGGCTTCTTCGGGGTAACGGTGGAAAGCATGGACGGTAGGCCTGCACGATATATCGTTTGAACAAAGCCATTGCGATGTGCACATGCGCGATAGTCACATCGCAGGACGTGCAATATTTTTCTCCTTTTTTTTTTTTGCCATGTAAGGACTGTAATATAATTTCTCTTGAGTAGTGAATAATGGTGCTCTGTTGCCCTGAGTCTCAATTTCTTGATGCACTTTGGAGCAGAGGCAAATCGGGAAAGCTACAAGAATGAGCTGGCACTTCATCTACCATATTACTGTATCAAGGAAATTGACCAAGAGTGAATCATAAAATCTGGATTCCCGCGAACAAGGATTGGATGATACCATACTCAAGAGTGTACATTTTGACTGATTACTGAACACTTTTGTAACGCATGTCATGCTAACTAGCCAAAAATTCATTAGCCCCTATCTCACTAATTAGATGGCCATGAACAAAAATATTTGAGATCTGACAGTTTCTCCTGAAGGCCAATCACTCCACCAAATTTCATCAAAATCTGTGACGTAAGTGGAGATTCTTGGTTGAATTGACATGGAATGACCCATTGCACGCACAGATAATCAGAGAGCCTTATACGGGAGAGCATGTAAAACACTAATATTAGTGGACTAAATAAGTTCAAGGCATATCGTAGCTATTATTGTTATAGTTAAAACAAAACAAAAAAGTGTGCAGCTTCACTTACACTTATTTGAATGAGTAAAGCAATTACAAATACTTTTAAAATTCGCTCATATCCACCATACAAGGTAACCTCAAAACACCCGGCACACTGCAGAAATCTCCCGGATTTTATAACCCAAATGTTTTTTTTGTTTGATTTCAAGAGATTCTTGACTAAATTACTGAAATGAACACTAATAGGAATAGGACAAGTTTTATTTGCTATTTTGGTTAAATTCATTGTAATAATAATCAGTTAATAAAAAATAATAATTAGAATAATTGATAAATTAGTTGATAGATTAGTCAACTAATCAAAAAAATTATCGTTACATTAATAGATAGGAAAATAATCGTTAGGTGCAGCCCTATTTGACTTATTGGATTACACTTGAACATCCACATGCCTGTAGTGTTTATATGCTGGTTCAACCTAACACAGCCTACATACAACTTTATGTCTGTATTCTGCCAAAATACAGACTGCCAAACCGTTTCACACACCCGCTGCCATCTGCCTTCAGAGCCTGCTAACATCCTGACATTATGGCAGTAGTCAGTCAACAGATACAGCCACAGCCAGTGGCGGCTGGCTAAGCTACAGACTGGACACAACATATGACAGGCATTACAAATAATCCATTTACCTATCTTGGCAGGTGACAGTTCAACCAACACAAGTTGGGGTCACTAATAGTGTGTTTCTACCAAGTGGTTCACATTGGCCGGATTATGCTCTCAACAGCCAACTGTATCCTGGCACATTGTACAGGAAGCAAGCCGGCTTCAGAACAGCTATATTTTAATTTCATGGCATGCATGTTAAAAAAAAAAAGCGAACTTTTCTTATTGTTGGTGTGGGTAGAGGTTCTTACAACTATCTCAGATCCACCTTAATTGTCTGAAATCTAGAGAACGGGAGGCTTGTGATTTTATCTCTGCAAGCCACCCAGGGATATTGGCCAAAATAGACAAATAATGCCGAGTTCAGTGCTGTGTTAGCTTGATTTATGTCACAAGCATGTATAATATACTATGGAAGCACTTCCTAGATGCTCTACTAAGTATAATGTTGGACCTGTATTTTCTGTAGAGACTACCCTTGTTTTCCCATAATCTTACAAAAAGTTGTCTAAGAACATTACTGAAAACAAATGTGGCATAAATCAAGTTGACAGCAGGTACGTTGCAGTGATTGTGTCTAGCTCCACTCTCCAAAGTCAGGCAGGTAAGTCTGATAACCCAACAGAGAGTACCAAAAAGTAGGAAAGTACAGATCAGTATTTTGGTAGATTTCCCCACTTTTGTCTGTGAAAATGGGCAAGATTATGTAATGCACTGCACCAAATTAAACCAAACTGCTGAGTGGACATGCAGCGTAAGTGGTCATGGTGTCAGATCAGTTCATTTTTTCAACCCCTCATATCACATTTAGGTGAATGACAGGCTGATACCAATTTTTGTGCCTGTACTAGGTCAATTCTGGTGTTGTCAGTGGTTCATCCAAAGGTGGAATAGTTTTGACAGTGGGTCATTCCTTACTCTGGTCAGATTTCTTCCTGCCTGTGGAAGGAATGTGTCTAGCATTACTGACAGCGAAAATTGGACTGCATGATCTCTACCTGCCCCACCCTGCACAAACAGTCAAAGCTGATCAGAGATCTTATGGTATCCAACTAAGACCTTCTGATCTGCCCCAGTATTTGATGCGCAGTGACATGTCAGCAGGAAGTAGTGCTGGGCGATATGGAAAAAAATGTATATCACGATATGGATCATTTTATATCACGATAACGATATATATCACAATATAGTTATGGTATGCTTTCAGTTCTATGAAAAATTAAAGTGTATACAGCTGCCCTAGTACAGTGCCAGTACAAGACCAGCACTTAAAACTAGAAAAATGAATAAATAAATATGTGGCTGAAGTGTGTTCATGTCTGTGCTCACCCAAAGTTATGCAACACTCACAGAAAACGCCGATAGTGTGAACCAAAGCACTCCATAATAATAATAATAATAATAATAATAATAATAATAAATTTAATTTGTAATGCACTTTACATTTACAAAAAATCTCAAAGTGCTACAGTACACAGTAAAAAAAGAGCAGCAACAATAAAAAAGCAATAGAATGACAGTCACAGATTGGCATAAAAAACGCAAAAAAAGAATTAAAAAAATAAAGAATATAGAGTTGCAATGTAAGAGGCAAGGTAGTAAAAGCATAGAGGAAAGCTAACCAAAGGCTTTATTAAAAAGGTAGGTCTTTAGGGCTCTTTTGAAGAGGTTGTTCACACTGCTGGATGTTTCTCCTCCAAAGCTGCTCTCTGCCTCCATCATTGTTTACTTTACTCTTGAAGCACGTAGCAAGACCCGAGCATGAATCCGCCTATCAGGGGCAGACAGGTAAGGTGATTTGATTCGCCACGACTCCAGAAATGATTGAAAAACTACAGAATGTCACAAAATCACGTTTCCTCGCTCCTGACTTGAAGGGTAGAAATGCGCAGCCGCGCTCCCAGCTGACAGGAAGTCAAACCACTGTTGTAGTTCTTTTGTGTTGCTAGCGCGGTCAAGAGTGTTGGCTCTCACTGAGAGATGACTACAAAAATGGACGCACCTGTTCATCTGGTTGTTTAACACGGCTGAAAATGATCATCTATTAATGTTGTTCCCGCTCCTGCCCACTCCCGTTGCTTTTTTTTCCCGTCCCGTCCCGATCAAGGGGTTATTTAAAAATGACTCCCATCCCGTGGGATTCCCGCGGGAATCACGTGACCCACGGGAATTCCCGAAAAATGTCATCCTCTACAGGGAAGGTCCCGGAGCAGATGAAACAGGTGCCGGAGCGGCTGAAATAGGTCCCGGATCCGATCAAAAGAGGTCCCGGCACAAATTAAGCACTGCTTACAATGATCCCTTAAATGTGTAACCGAGGTAACCCGCAACGGCGGGAGACGCTGGACACGAAGAGGGCACGTAAAGCGGCGTCATGTCGCAAAATCGAAAGAGAAATGCGAGCCTACATGTCAACGCATCCTTTTCTTTGTAAGAAAACATTGTTTTCTTTTCCGTTTGACACCAAATACACTTACTGAATGTGCAATTATTGTTGTTGTTACTATGAATCATCTGATGGCACAAGCCCTATGGATAAAATACAGCCTATCGCCCGAAACGATAAAAATAAAAATGGCACGATAGACATTTTCTATTGTGCCCACGATATCTATCGTCCTATCGCCCAGCACTAGCAGGAAGTATGAAATATTCTTTTTCAGGAGGTAGTTGAGAGCATCTGGGTCTTCTTGACAGAAGCACATGGCCTATTTTACTCAATTCTTGAATGAAATCAAATCCTGTAAATATCCCCTGCTGAGGGTAAAAAGAAGAGTGAGTACAGGCCGGCTGGGTAAGTTTAAAAAATGAGCCGTATGAAAAACACATTAGGGGACTGACCACCTTGCTCTCTTCTTGGGAGGAGTGGGGTGTGTATTAGTTGGACTAGATTAGGGTTACACAACAAGCTTAAAGCTGGCAGACTGCCCCAGGACGCTGTGGCAACTACACCCTGTTATCTTCGAGAAGAGGAGAACTGCTAGAAAGACTTGGGCGACATAAACAATGAAACATCAACAGAGAGCAGACAGAGGCAGAAATCTTTTGGTGAGAGTGGACCAGTGTGTTTGACAGCAAGTAGAAATGTGTGTGAGCCTGAATGTCTCCTGACCTTTTCCTCCTACAGGTTACTAAGTGTGCTCACTCCCTCTGCCTGCTGCTGCAGTACACAGGTCTATTTATAAACTCTGAGTTCAAATAGTAACCACTCTGTTCACTAGCCAGTATGATAAGAGAACAAACAAACCCATGTGTGCACAACAAGCCAGTGTGCACATGCAGCCAAGCCTGCATGTGCAACAAGATCATAGCATGTTTTATGAAATACTGATTTCACAGAGTGCAGTGGCACTAATATTCTGGTACGTAACAAGGTGCTACAGGAAAAATTGGTTCAACTGCTGTCCCTTAGTTCACTGAGACAAAGACCAGAACCAACACTATAAAACTCTGCATACTATCTTGAAGCAGCTAACCAAGGCCAAACTCCACCTTTGCAAACTCGAGCTCACTGACTTCACCCAGGCATACTGCCAACAACCAAACAGTAACGGCTGCCAGAAGTAGATCGCTGCTCTCTTTGACCAATCAAAAAAAACCAACAGGACAATGATGTCGCCATTACAAGTTATTTTAAGAGGCAGTTTGAGTTAGAGTGAAGACAAATGATAAACAGAGCAGGACTGTCAAGTGTTGCATGTGGAACCTGATCAACAGCAGTCGCAGCATTAAGAGGGTAAGACCCTTCCAGAGAACTTGGCTTGTTTACACTCCTGGATCTGGACTTAACCTTCCTGTATTGAAACACCCCAGTCAATCCCAAAGCTTCGGATTCACAGGGAAGACTGAGGGATAGCCGTTTCAAGCCTTATAAGGTTGCACTGGTCAAAGTAATGCAGTAAGATGATCCTGACATGCTGCTTCTTAAGAGATCTCAGGTTTTTGCAATCTAATTTACAATACTTGTTACAAATTAAACCTTTTTTTCTAGAAAATATTGAGCCTGTACTTTCAAGACCTTGAATACTTTTTTATAGTTCTAATGATCAACTTTTTCTGCAGTGCAATGCTAGCATGACAGCCTGTCTTGCAACATTTTAATACCTAATGTATTCCTTATACAACAGACACTGTGGTGATGCCCATTTGGAGACACAAAGGTCATTCTGGAAAGTCAGAATCACAGAGAAGGTGGTAGAAGCCCACAAAATTTGCCAAGACTGAAGATTTTTTTTTTATTTTGTTCGACAATATTTGCCCAATTAAAAGTTCTGTGATCAAGTTATGATCCAACGTTCAAACTCTAGGTGTCATTAATCAGTGGCTGATCGGATCTTTCAAATTGTATTCAACAGAGAGACAGAAAAATTCTTTGCTATTTTTATTTAGTTTGGTGATTTTCAATACTGCTTGCATGGACTTGATGTTTTCATGTATGTTATAGGACTTACCATCAAATATGTGTATAATGAAGACACAGTCTGTTTTTAAGGGGCCCAGAGACATAACAGTTTCACTGTCTACCTACATGAAGCAACACGCAGTTCCGACGGAGTCGTCTCTCTCTTTCAGGCACCATCTGTTTTTGCCATCCAATGAGGTTTGTGAACTCTGCTTATGGTAGCCTTAATAGTTTTGAGATATGGATGGACTCACTGGCCACAGCTAACTTTCAGGAACTTGTGCCACCCTGGTCACTTGTCTTAAACTAGCAGTCTTTCCCATCAAACCATCACTCCACAAATTTTTATTTTTATTTTTAAGTAAACCACCATTTTTTATAACACACAATGAAGACCTCATGCGAGAGAAAAGCTGTTCAAAGAAGTTCTTCTTAGTGATGCCATAACTGTAGCTCGGCTCAAGTGTGCATGATAATGTACTGAGTGACAGCTGGGACAGGCCGTACAGATAATGAGTGGATGGATAATTGACAGGAAAACATGGAGAAAATTAGTTCCTGTGAAATAACTTTTATCACTAAACCTAAAGAATTTGGTCTTTTTTATCTGAATAATAATCATGCTAGCTAGTTGAGTTATAAATGTGTAATGTATAAGTTCAGATTAGGCCTGAACGATATATCGTTTGACTATCGTCATCGCGATGTACGTGTGTGCGATAGTCACATCGCAGAGCCTGCGATATTGGAGGTGAATGAACTCATTTAATTTCAAGGGTAACCGACTGAGATACACTCCATGTGACTCTGCATGTGCTGTGCAGCGATCCACCAATCGCCTTCGTCCTTAACTCAGTTGCCAATCAGACTCACTTCTCAGCTGCCAATCAGACTACCCTGCCAGCTGTCAATCAAAATCAGGGAGGAGAAAACCCACCCCTGCACATGTTCTGCACATGGAGGGAGACGTGTGTCCGCTGAGAATTACTTTCGGAACTTTACTCATGACTATTAAGCCCAACAAATAAGAACTGTATGGGTTTTAAATTGTTCATTTCCGTGGACCTCTCTACTATAAGCAGTGCGCGTTTTGCGAGGTGCATGCAATTCTCGGAGGACATGCGTTTCTCGGTACAGCACCGCTAACAACAACAACGATCGCAAAATGAACAACGAACAAGCGAAAACCACCGAAAATGAAGATTTGTTGCCAAAAAGAAAAGGAAAGGTCAGTTCTCTGGAATTATTTCGGTTAAAAAAGGATGATGTCGACCAAAACACGTCTTCTGTGTTCATCTGTTTCCACAATAACGTCCCAGCACAATAAAAGCTAAAAATATATCTGAGACAGACAGAAGCCGTTCTACTAACATTCACAAAAAGAGGTAAGATCAGAGCAGATTAACTGTCCTCAAGATTTCAGCAGTGCAGCATAACATTAAGTGCTATTCAGGTCATCTGGTGAAAATACTGTATTTTTAATATCGCAATATATATCGCAGGGTTGAAAAAAATCGCAATATTATTTTTTTCCAATATCGTGCAGCCTTAATTCAGATATATTTTGATTTAGTAATGTCAACATTTGTTGCATTTCATTCACAAAGAACAACCTCAAAGCTTTACCAATGCTCGACCCCAGACCATGAATATGTTCACTGCCACTGTTCAGTACACAGAGTACAGTTTGTTCATCTCTGCTCCTGCCTCCATCTGAAAAACGCTTTCACAAGGGCCCCTGAAGCTGGCTGCGGACCGACTGCTGCTATCATCTTACAGACTGAAAGAAGAGGGGGGGAAGGGGGCAGAAGGAATACTGGGGCAATTCACACAGACTGAGTGTGGCTGAGAGTGACAGAGAGAAAACTAGACGTGAACAGAATGGTCAGAAAAAAAAAATGATAACAAAAAGCGGAGGGAGAGAGGAGTGGAATTTCAGAAAGAGGTTGAAGAAAAAGAGCCTGTCATTGAGGTTGATGAGAGAGGAATGCAGCTGCAGCTTCTAACATGTATAAAAAGCAGAGAGGTCAACCTCCTGAAGTCGGGAGCACATGAACCCAGTACAATGTGTACTCAGAGTTTGAAAGAGGAGAAAAAGCCAACTCAGACAATTTTTTTGATCTTTGGTGTGAAATGAATGTGGAGAGAATAGTATTTAAAAAAAAAGGTGAAACCAAAGAAAGGCAAAAAACAACAAGGGCTTTTTTGTGGTCATGAAGGACAGAACCTGCTTTAACAAGTTATCTTTGACTTTACATAAGAGTACCTTAGGAAACTGAGGAACCCACTGTGAAACCAAAGTGTAGTTTCAAGTAAATGAGATCTTTGTGGCTCAGATGTGGCTTATTTGGTACTTAACAGAGGTTTTTTCACTTTTGACACCACAAATAGTATGGATAAACAACACTCTTTATAAGCTCTGCACTCTTTTGTCTGACTTTCTAAAACACTCAGAGGCTGACTGAATGGCTGCCATTTCAACTTTTCACATGTCCTGCTGTTGCTATATGACTGAAAAATCTATTTTCGGCTTTGTTGCTCAACACTGACTGATCCTGTAACATCCACAGCATGCCAGTTTCACACATCAACCTTAATAGTTGGCACTATTATACAGGTAGAAATGGGCACTATGAATACAGCAAATGCATCAAACTACATATTTGGGTCACAGCATAATACATATTATCTTTTGCAATAACCTTTGTAACTGAATGATCATTAAAAAACTTCCAGACAAGTTCTTCAGTCAATTTACCACAAAGCATCCCACATACAAAGCAACGACAAGCTGCACTGCATTACAAGTGCATTAAATTATACCTGCACGATATATCGTTTGAACATCGTCATCGCGATGTACGTGTGTGCAATAGTCACATCGCAGAGCCTGCAATGTCGGAGGCGAATGAACTCAGTTAATTTCAAGGGTAGCTGACTGAGAAACACTGCATGTGACTCTAGATGTGCTGTGCAGCGATCCACCAATCACCTTCGTTCTTTACTCAGCTGCCAATCAAACTCAGTTCTCAGTTGCCAATCAGACTACCCTGCCAGCTGTCAATCAAAATCAGAGAGGAGGAAACTACACCCCTGCACATGTTCTACAGATGGAGTGAGTCGCTGGCTGCTGGTGTTGAGCCGAGAAATGTGTGTCCACTGAAAATTACTTTCGGAACTATACTCATCACTGTTTAGCCCAACAAACAAGAATTGTATGGGTTTTAAAATGTTTCTTTCCGTGGACCACTCTACTATAAGAGGTGCGTGTTTTGCAAGGTGCATGCAATTCTCGGAGGACATGCGTTTCTCGCCACAACAACGGTAATAACAACAACAACGATTGCAAAATGAGCAACGAACAAGAGAAAACCACCGAAGATGATTTGTTGCCAAAAAGAAAAGAAAAAAAAGGTCAGTTCTCTGGAATTATTTCGGTTAAAAGAAGGATGATGTCAACCACAATAAAAGCACAACAAAAGCTAAAAATATCTCTGAGACAGACAGAAGCCACTCTACTAACATTCACAACAAGAGGTAAGATCAGTGCAGGTTAACTGTCCTGAAGACTTCAGCGGTGCAGCATAACATTTAATGCTATTCAGGTCATCTGGTGAAAATTCCTGTATGTTTTAATATTGCAATATATATCCCAGGGTTGAAAAAAATCGCAATTTTAGTTTTTTCCAATATCGTGCAGCCTTAATTACAAGATGCTATGTCATCGGTGCTTGTTTACATCCGCATAGCAGGACATCAAAGTGTTGTGGTGGCACACTGAAAAGAAGCGACTAGTGGCTACTGGTTTTCCTACAGCTTTAAAACCAGGGCCAATCATAATATTAATTTATTTTAATGACTTCTAATAATGGTGCCAACTGGTGAGGGTGAAGAATTTCAATCATTTAGTTGACTAATCATACACATCCCTTGCAGGTTACATGCCTACAGTCTGTATTTTCTCACTATGTTGCTGTGAGACATTTCTTTGTGTTTGCTCAATTGCTGTGCAGAGGTGTTAGCCTCACAGCCAACACCCAGCTACTTGTGACCAAGAGAAACATAAGTGATAATCCCCGTTTCTCTTTCTTCTATTCTGTCAGCCAGTCTAGGACTGCAAAGATAATTCACAAATGTGGGTATGTGTGGATCTGTGTGCATAGTTGGTCCGTCTCTATGGTTGCTGACTGTGTGACAGCTTCAGGTGTGATTGAGGAACAGAGGCACAAACAAAACCCGGCTACTTCCTGAAAGTTTGTGTAAAGCTGTTCAATTCTTTCAAGCTTAAAGGGGACCTGCCACCAAAATTTCATACCCATTTTTATCATTTTTTCATAATCCTTGATGTCCTCTGATCATGTTTGCAACATAATTTTAGCTGAAAAGTTATTTGATGGTTTGTTTTAGTATGCCTAAAAAACCTTACAGGAAAACCAACTGATTTTGGCTCATTAACATTTATGGTAGAGAGCTTTACTCTGATTGGATCGCTGCTGTGAAGCCTGCTGTGCTCTGATTGGCTCAGCAGTGGAGGTTCGGATTTCGGTTTATCCATTGTTATTATGCTAATGCTAATAACATATGCTAATGTTTGCTAAAGTAAGGTGCCCAGATGTCTGTAATGATATCCGGGGATATTCGATGCGGCGGCGGCGGCGGCGGTGCAGGGGCTGCAGGAGCTGTGTGATCACAGACAAAGTCTCGGTACTATTTAGTAGCAGCGCATGCCCCTTGTAATAACCTCCGTAAGAACTGTTGTTCAGGACTGCTAACTTTTGCTTCCTACCTATTCGGCTACTGTAATAACCGTTGTTCGAGCCCACACGCAACATTTTTGCTCTCATTCATGAAACGCTTAAATCGGGGACATTTTTGGGGACAGCTTTTGCCGGGGACAGGTCATCCAATACGGGGACTGTCCCCGGAAATCGGGGACGTCTGGTCACCTTATGCTAAAGGCTAAAAACGGCAGGTATTAAACCATATATTTTAGACCCCGAGTCCAAAAAGGAGGTGGAAGTTGAGGAAGAAGCCGGAGATCTCCAGCGGTGTTTTCTCATTCATTCTGCCCAGCTTTAAGTTCATTTTCCCGGCAGTGAACCCAAGGAAACACCGGTCGTTTGGAAGAGACCCATAGCGGATACAGTGGTAGCTGGGTCTCGCTCTGGCTGTGACTGAGTACGAGAACGAGAGAGTGGGCACGGCTCACCGAGGACGTGCTCGTGAATAATAATGAGCAAGGTCAGCGCAACATAACACCAACCTGCTTTTTCAATTGGCCTGGTTTACTCGTTCCTTTATTTTAAACCTTTACAGAATGCAAACGACGTAACGGTTTGTTTTCACATTTACAACATAAGACGAACATAATGTGGACCTTATCTGACACAAAAAAACCCAAAAATTACATTTTTATGGCAGGTCCCCTTTAATGGTTTCGGGGCTTTTCCATCTTTTGGTTGGGATTAGGATTCTTTCTGGGTTTTTTAAGTTAAAATTTGAAGTGCCCGTTTCTCAAAACAGGACAGAACTGTTGGTCCCACCTCTGTAGCTGTCTGTGGAATCTACCTCAGTGCAGACACGAGCACATTTCTCACACAAAAACCTATTTTGAACAGCGGGCTTTTTGTGTTAAACACACTTAGCATACTCAGTTAATTGTAACAAATTATGTGATTATCAAAAAGATTTCAAATTTTTATTTCTAACTGCTGTTGCAGACGCTTTTCTGAATGCATTTTGTAGAGCTGTTGTTAAGGAAGACCTTGTTGCCATGGCAAGATTCCTAAACACTCCCAATTCCTCTGGGCTTGTCAGAGCAAGATTACATCATACCAGTGTCTTTTCAATGCAAAAAGCTTTTCCTGGTTTAATAGAGACCCAAGGGAGTCCTAATGGGGGTCTATGCTGCTGTAACTCTCCTAATGTAAGGTGTAATCAACATAAAGTACAGTAAGCATGAGGAAGTGTCAAAGTAAGATGCAATTTAGTTGAGTGCAGGAGTTATCATCAATCCTTCCTTATCCAAACTCTGCAATACATGATATTGCATGTAGGGTAAATGTGTGCAGGAGCTGATAAGTGTACTTGACGCACAGCCTGTTGACTGCTCGTCACCTTGGGAGGTGTTCACAGGGCACACACACCAAATGCAAACTAAGAGACCTGTTAGTTTCTTTTCCTACATTCATTTATCCCTCACAATTGTTTTCCAAACACCCAGGCTTGTAGTGCTCACTATCAGACATGCTTTCAACTTTGATGCCACTTTCCTGTGATTGGATTTTATATCAAGTCTTCAGAGAGTTCAGCACTATTTCTTGCTTTGTATTGTGCTGTTCCTTGCAACATACGCCCAGATTAATGCATCTTTGCCAAAAAAGTATCGGTGAAGGATTGAGAGGAGTCAGTCCTTAAGACTCCCTGATAGGGCTGGGCGGTAATAGGGTAATGAGGTACACTGGCGGTGTCTTTCAAAAGTGACAATATCAGTTTCTATACCGTCATAGCACTGGCGCTGTGTTTTGTATGCCTGAACTGTTATTACTGTAACCCCATCAAAGTTTGTCCGATCAGAAAAACTTCAATAGTGTTAGAAAGCTGAGAGTTGTGGGCATGAACCTATATAGGATTTACTACGGCAGTCATAACCATGCAAGGTAGGCAGTAATTGCAAAACACAGAAAGTATCGGCAGAGAGCTACACAGCTTCTCAATACTGTAACTCCTTGAAAGTTTGCTCAATCTGAAAAATTCCAACACTGACAAACAACTGGGTATCTGTGCTTTCTGTCAATATATGATGTATGCTATTTGTTACTGTAATCTTGAACAGTGTACCACCAAAACTGCAACAGGGGTGTGGGAGAAAAGCGGAGTGGAGTAAGAGAGTAAAGTAAGACAGATTAAGCAAAATAGTGTTTTTGTTTTGTTTGTTTTTCAAATTTAGTAGTAAATAGTAGTAATAAAAAGGTGACCATGAAAGATAGAAACACTTCTAACCTAAGGAAGTATCTCTGAATCAACCACCCACTCACTGCTGCCACGATGCATTTGGCCCCGAGGTCACTCGGTGCAGCAGTTTCAACGCCTCCCGCTCAATGGGGGCCTTCGGAAAAACTACGGAGCACAAAAGGGACCGTGTCTGTTAGAAAACCTGCACTGATGCAGTGACAAAATACTTGTTGAGGAAATTGTCTCTATCTACACAGTGGAAAAGAAGCATCCTGTGCAAAACCTGTTCTGGGTGGTGGTCAGGTCAAGTTAATTGTTTCACTGTTATGTTTGCACTTGTTTATAAGCTACTGTTTTTGTTATTCAAAGTTGCTCAGGCTAAGATTTAATCTAATTGATGTGTTTGTGGCATATTCTGTGCAAATACTTTTCTGGATGGTTATGTTAATTTAAATGTTTGACTGTTGTGCACTTTTTAAGCTGTTTCTATCAAAGTTGTTCATATTATGCACATTGGCCCTCATTTATCAATCTTGTGCAGACCTGAGTGCAGATCTGAGCGCAGGATTCATCGTACGATAGGACACATGCGATTTATGAAAAGGTTTGTATCTGACCAATCCCAGCGTACCTATGATGGGGTCTTGATAAATGCGGCGGCTGAAATCGATCGTCATTAACATGTTTATGCCCTTAAATATTCGTGGTTCAGAAGTTTCACCCACTGAGGTCAAACATGAAAGAGAGAAATATTAGAAAGATTCAAAACTTTTCCAAGATGAAAGTGGATATCCTCACATCTGTGGTGGAAACTAACAAAGATTTTCTCTTTGGAAGCATCAAAACTGGTATAAAAGCAGTCCAGAAAACTCCTGTCTGGAGCAGGATTATGGTGGCGCTGAACAGTGCCGGAATAGTGGACAGTGGCTGAAGTTTGCAGTTTATTAGTCAATAAGTTGCTCATGATGATAAATCAATATCTCATACATGCCTCATATTTGTTTTATTGCTCTCTCAAAGCTCTCTCAAAGAGCTTTATTTGTAGGAGTTCAGATTTCAGATTTGATTGTTCTTTACAAATATACAAATACATTCTTCTTCTCCAAGGTGTAGGCTGAAGCCCATGGCTTATTTTGCCTACCCTTATCACTTGTTTTTGCTTCTTTAAGCTATAGAAGATGTCAAACAAAACCCTCACAAAGAAAACAGAGGCAAAAAAAAAATTACAAAGATCTTAACATTCCAGAAAAATAAATAAACAATAACAACGAACTTAGTGCAAGGATACTCTGGAAAGAAAAGCAAACAAGAAAACAGCAAGAAAAACAAAAACAAACAGCAACGAAGATCTGCCTTTTTTTTCTCTTTTTCCTTTTTTCTCCCTTTTTTTCTATTTTCCCCTTCTTCTTTCATTTCTTTCCCCCTTTTCTCCTCTTTTTTTCCATTTTTTCCTTTCTTTTCTTCCCCTTCCCCCTCTTTAGCTTTTTCAGAAATAGTATGCGATATAATCATAATAATAATAATACATCCAAACATAGCGATACACCTGTAAATAATGACAGTTTATAGTATCTCTCTATACTTTTTAATCGCCTGATTTTTAAAAAAATTTGTGAATCCATATAATGTACTGCAGATCCTTAAGTCCTTATCACAGCATTGCCACAAACTTACCCCTTTAACAGTTATACAATGTTTTTTGGTATTGGTTCTAGCCCAATTTGGTTTGAACATACCTTTGTTTCTAAGTTCATATTTGTTTTCTTTGGTTTCAAATAACCTCTGAAGACAGGATGGAAGGAGACTGTTGTGGGCTTTGTACAGGACAAGTAAAGTTTGAAGATTAACTATGTCCCAGAATTTCAGCGCATATAAATTTATAAATAAGGTGTTGGTAGGCACACAGTATTCTGCTCTCTTGATTATTCGTATGGCTCTTTTCTAGGATAAAAACTGGATGAACATTTGTTTTATATGTATTTCCCCATACCTCCAAACAGTATGTCATGTAGGGAACTATGAGGGAACAGTACAGTAAGTATAATGAGTTTTGATTCAGGATTTCTTTTGATCTATACATCCTGGCAATGGTTTTAGACATTTTCCTTTTAATGAGATTTATGTGAGACTTCCAACTTAATTTGTGATCAATAATCACACCAAGAAATTTATGCTCATAAATTCTTTCAACAGTTACACCATTAATTTTCAATGTGATTTCTTTATCTATTTTTTGGTTTCTAAATATTATTAGTTTTGTTTTGTTTATGTTCAAGGATAATTTATTTTTATCGAACCATGTTTTTAGTTTATTTAGTTACCCTTCTATTGTCTTCAGAAGCTCCACCAAGTTTTTTCCATGGCAAAATAAATTTGTATCATCCGCGAACAATACATAATTTAAGATATTTGACACATTGCAAATGTCGTTGATATATAAAATGAAGAGTTTTAGTCCTAAAACAGATCCCTGAGGGACTCCACACTTTACTTTTTGCATACTGGATTTCTCATTTCTGATTTCTACATATTGATATCTATCTTCAAGGTAACTTTTTAACCATGAATGAGCTACCCCTCTAATACCATAATGTTCTAATTTCATTAAAAATTGTTCATGATGTATCGTATCAAAAGCTTTCCGGAGGTCAACGAACACACCTCCTGTAATTTCCTTATTGTTTATGGCAGTGGCAATCCGTTCTGTTAGACTCATCACTGCCATTGATGTGGACCGATTTGCTCTGAAACCACTGTTGATCACACAAGATGTTATGTTTTTCAATGAAATTATCAAGTCGAGACACAAAGAGTTTTTCCAGTAGTTTTGAGAATTGCCATGACAATTATTGAAAGTATTTAGTTTTAATTTGTTGAGTCTTTGTAATGTAGAGCAGACTGGAGAGTCTGACAGAGGCTGAACGAAAATAATTATTAACGTCACTAAACTGTGTGTTGCTGCCCCTGAGGCACATTTTTATGGATTTCTATTGGATTTTTATCACTGATTAAATAGCAAGAGCACTTTCTAAACTTATACTGTACATGTCAGAATCCATCGATAAGGTCCTGTCTCCTCTGTACAGCACCATTGTGGAGTCTCTCCTCGTTATTGTTCTCCGGGCATCGGGTCCTCACGTTGCACTGGCAGAGCCAGCGGCACTCCATTCGCCAGTGCAACATTGTGCAAAACTGAACTGGCCCAAATGATGTCCCACACCCTTTCAGGAGTGTACAACAATGTGCCCACTGCTGGGCCAAGACAGCGACACCTGCCTTTTAGGAGTCAAACGCAGCGCTCCACAGTGGCGCGTGTGCATGTGTGTGTAATGCTGAAACGGCGCTCCTGCTCTGTGGCAGTGTTTCTGGGCAGAGTTATCAAATAGGCCTATTCACTAAGGACATAACAAATTTATTTTATTTTATTTACGTCTTAATCTTTAATGAAATCTGGCTGATTGTGATTAATGACAGGTTTGTTTATCAATTATTTCGAGACAGACATTTGCTGCGCCACAGATCCACACTGACTCAAACTTGCGTTCACGATGTCAGACCTGTCGTGAGATTTAGTCGTAGTGTACACTCATGTGCAGATTGATAAATGCCGATCCTCACGTCAAAATTTTCGTACGCAAGGTGTACACAAGTTTTCTGTCGTACGTAAGCTTGATAAATGAGGGCCACCATGTTGTTCTCGTTTCATTATCAGTGTTTGGTTTTCTGTTTCTGAACAGTGCAGGCACAAGCCACCAGTTTGGTGATGCTGTTTGAGCCTAAGTCACAATTTTTAATTAGTCACAGTAATACTGTATAACACATTAAAATGTGGAGACATATGAAGGTATCAAAATTTGGATACTGCCCAACCCTACTCCCAGAGCAAGAATTAATTCTTTCACACCAACTGAATGCATTTTATAGCTAGTATTAGAAAAAAAAACAAAGTACAATTTGTTTGATGGAATGCCTTACTTTCAGTATCAATTTACAACAATGATATCATATAACTATCATATCATAAAACTAACTGTCTTAAAGTTAGACAGTTAGTTTTATGACAGTAAGAAAACTCAAATAAGACCAAATTGGCATCAACTAAACACACAGGAGCAGAGTCTTCAGGTAAACTACATCAAATTGGTTTACTGAGTGTTGCTTATATAAGCAGAGCTAGAACCACCAGCCTCCATCCTCCTAGCAGCTAACTTCCTCGTAACTGTGCCCATTACACATCTAACTAAACAAGGTAACCAGACACAACAGATATGAGACTATCCTGCTAAACTGCACAGTGACATCTGCAGGCTTATATCTGTGTTCTGTGCTTGTTTACATCAAGATAGGGGAGCATCTGGCATTATGTCTAGCTCAAAACCAACTGGATGAGGAGGGGATGTTGAGGTGGTATTAGTGGGAAAAACAGTGTTATAAACATTAGTGTTATAACTTTCTTTCGCTCATTGGTTTCATTGGTTAATTTTTTCAACAACATTTGGGCCTGCAGAGAGGCCTTGTGATGACACTTATGACAACCTGAAACCTAGAGAGAGATAGAGTGACATGTAGGGCTGCAACGATTAGTCGACGTAATCGATTACGTCGACACGACAAATTCATCGACACGAAAATTAAGCGTTGACGCGTCGTGTTATTGTTGTTAAGAATCACATGCCGGCGCCTCATGCTCATCTATAACTGCAGTGCACTACAGGATGTGCTGGGGGCAGTAGCGCTCGCTGTTTACATCCCGCGAGCAATCACAGAAGAAGAGTGCACACATTATGGCAGAACAAACAGAAGAAGACGCTCCAAAACTCCGACCCAAAACTTCAAAAGTTTAGGAACATTTTACGGAGAACAAACCAAAAAAACACGTTGAGTGCAAGCTATGCTTTGCCTACCATGGCAGCACCACGGCGATGCATGAGCACCTGAAACGCCGACACCCCAGAAATAGGTGTTTATAAATAAAGAAGATAGTGATTAATCGTGATTAATCGAACGACTAGTCGATAGATTAGTCGACAAAAAAATAGTCGTTAGTTGCAGCACTAGTGACATGTAGAAAGAGAGGGAGAGTGCATAAAACAAGAATGGCCATACAAATCAAACTGAGTATGAACACAAGTGCAGACATGCAAATTACATTTTGATTGTTGGTCAAATAGGGAAAAAAAGCCAAGAACTACTCCGTCTTCACATTATCTCATTACAAGAGTGCAGCAACATGTTTGGACTAGACACACAGCTGGAAGTAGCATGAAAGGAGTGCGAATAAAAGCCAGAGATGAAAAAGTGCAACTGAAACACTGAGACAGACCTAAGGTCAGAGATAGATACTAACAGACTTCCTGTCTACACATGCCATGATCAGGCTTTCAGCTGCAGATCCTCTGCAAAAAATTTGACACTTGTTATCTAGGGGGCAGTTTTGACAGCATATTACCTGCTGCACATGCCGTATCACAAAACAGCATCGGCATTACATCAGAAAACTATATAAATATAGCTCAAGATTGCCGTCTTTAGAATATGGTGTTCATCAAGAAAACACTCGTCGAAACATTAGACAGAAGCTGCCTGTCAATGTGCAATAAGTACATATTATAATCCTAAATAAACCTAACCCGTTTATGTCTGAACTTTTTCACATGTTAAGCTTAAACCTGAACACAACCTTTTTTTATATCAATATGTGTGGCTCTACCTTCAACAGTGTTTCCCCGACATTCAATCAGCAGCAGCGCACTGCCACTGCTGAATTGCGTGTGCCGCTACTGAAATTTCATATGATCATTAATCTCAATGCACCACAAATGATTTCTACTCGCATTGTGTCAGCATAACAACACAAGATGTTATTTTCGAGTTGTTTTGAGTCATCAACAAGCGCATCAAATCCTGTTGGACCCTCTTCCATTAATGTGAAGGGTTAATGTTCAAGCTTACACATGGTCTATATAGCGAGTAGCGCTGGTAATGTAATGTAACTTGAATGTGATAGCGTGGCTCCCTGAGCGGCAAGAGAGTGGGGGTAACACGTTATTTTCGTTCGCAGAGTTTTGGCAGGAATTTAACTCCATAGGGAATTCTTGGATTCTAGGAGCTAGATTTTCACTCATTAGAAATTTATCAGCTGTCACAATTGGTGCAGACTTACCTTCAATGTATCTCTGCAACTGTACCATATTCAAAATTGATAACATATCTGGTTCTTGCTAATAAGTCCCTCCACACTCCAAATAAATCAGCCTGTTGACTGAGGCTATAGTATAACACTGTGAAGTATAGACACTGAATCCTTCAGGGGCACAGTGATCACACTCTTGTTATTCCATAGGCATTATCAGTCATGGTGCTCCCATGACATTACACTTCACCCTACTGACACTGGCCTTTTTGCACTGGGACACATTATCATCTCATTACATCAGTACTAGAGACATGTCAATAAGCAGCGCAAGAGGAGTGAATATAAAAGGCACAGGAGGAGAGGTGCAACTGAAACGTTAAGACAGGCTCAAGGTCAGAGATATACACTATCAGACTTCCTGCCAACACAAGCCGTGGCCAGGGTTTCAGCTGTAACAGTAGTCGGCACCTACACACAGGACTCAATGGAAACTGTACCAGCAATTCAAACGGAAAATACTACTGCGTCACATGGCAAAGTACACAAGTGCTGTCGGAGGAATAATGGCACTACTGATACAAAAAGAATGAGACCAAACGCAGGCCAAACAAGAGATATACGTTTAAAAAATAAACCTTTTAGTTTTCTTAAAGGCTTCAAAGGTGAAATACAAGGTTTATGCCTTGAGCTGAGTCATGAATAGGTGAATTTGCTCTTTCATAATACCTTAACTTGCTCTTGCATATTGCCAGAATGATGAATCACAACAAAATGGAAAGGCTGAAGGCCATTTCACTATTTTTTGTAATTGTATTTTCCTTTCAACCAAGAGTATAACTCTATGATTTCATAAAATCATTCTCAGCCTTAACAAATAATTTCGTTTTTGGCAAAAGGAGCCTTTTAAAACAAGGGTTGAAATCTCAAACTAACCACACTCATGATGCAAAGCACTGACAACCAAATTTCAGGTCTGCTTGTTGTTGTCCAAGTTTGACAACTACTATTATCACAACATTTGTGCCTCCAGTGTATTGTGTGACAGAGCAAATAAGCTGTGAGTCAACAAAGAAAGCTTGTGTTGTCAAAATATTTCACCCCAATTTTTAACCATTTAAGGTTTGAAGCAGAGTTTCTTTGATAGGTGATATCAAAGGTGATAAGTCAGTGTCTGGTAGCAGCAGTTGTTTAGTCAACTCAAGAGCCACAGAGAACTATTCTATAGACTAACACATTTCTCAGTTCAAAAGCACTCAAAGTTTTTTGCTAATCTCTTGATTTTAAAAAACACAAGTGGTGGAGTCTTACCTTTTGACCAGATCTGTATCGTCTTAACCTCCTTCCTCTTCACACTCTTCGTCTCTCTCTCTCTTCCATCCACTGTTATTCCCTCTGTGGGTGTGTTCCCTACAAACAGCAGGAAAACACTTAAACTTTCACTATGTTTTTTGATCTGTTGCATTTGTCTGATTAACAAAAGCCTAACCATACTGCTGCTTCTTCAACAACATAAATTTCACAAAATCCAGTCCAAGTACAGAAGATCAATGTACAGGTTAAACTGATTTGATTGAAACAGAACTGAAAAATCATGAAAGAACATAAAAGAGCAAAATCAAACTTTTCTAAAGCAACATCAACATTTGAAAAAGGATAACACAGACTAAATTTGTCTGTAAGGATGCAGCAATTCACAAAACTAAATTTGAAACTAACTACGATGGAGTCAGAGATGAATGGTTTATTTCAGTAACATGGCACTAAAGATTTTCTTGCCCCTCTACTATCCAAAACTGTCACAGTGCATTTCATCTCATGTAGATACAAAATGAGATTATCTGTCTTTTTTGGCAAACAGATTCAATTGAGGGTGTTCCTATTAATGTGCACGCGCTTGTGATCAGGCTGTGGCTTCACCCTCTGCGAGTTTAGCATTTAGCAGCAGTGGTCACGGTGGGTGTGAAATTGAGCCTGCAGGAGAAAGCTGCAGGCTGCAGACTAATCCCATAATGGGATTACAGCATAGCACTTTACCTTAGCTATAAACAGACAGACACACAGAGATGCTTGAAACACCACAGCAACACATTTTTCGATTGCAAGTATCTAGAAAGAACATCACACAGAAACTAATACAGATATCACTGCTTTAAACAAGCTCCAGGTCAGTGTTTATTCACTGAAATGCAAGAAAACAACCAGAATTTCAAGTTTTCTTTCATTAAAAACCAAAAACCCTTTAATTTAGGCTTCTAATATGTGAATTAGGACTGGGCGATTATATGATTGATGATCATGATAAATTTCAGTTCCATCACGGTGATCAGCGGTGAGCTTATTTACGCAATCAAACATAGCGGAAATGTGCGTCACAACAGCCAATCAGAGTTGAGCTTTTCCTGCTCACTTCTGTAATTTACCGGAAAAATAAACAGGAGAAGTAAACAGAATGACCGAACGTGGAGCTAAACGCTGAGCTGAAGGCAGCAAAATAGATGTCAGCCGTGACTTTGAGTCATCCTCTGATGATGTTATTGTTGAGAAGTTATTCAACGTAGGTTGTGTGGCGTTGGTTCGGGTATCTCCAGTGACGTCGAGCAATTAAGCCGATAAACTGGCAACACAACGGATCTGTTTAGTCAATTGAAGAGTTCTTCTCGAGTGTTTATGCGGAAAGCATGAAAATGCGAGCGGAGTCAGTACAGCCTGTCACTGCTCACGGCACAAGAAGCATTAGCAGTTTAGCTACAACTAGCGGTGCAGCCAGCAGCAGTCAATCATATCCATACCTGCCAACACACCCGTTTTTCCTAGGAATATCCCGTAGTTTAACGGTCCACATTCATTCATGAATCGGGTCACACCGTTTGTCCAAAGTTTCCAGACAACCGAAGATTGTCCTGTGATTCTGCTGAGCCCCACAGACACTGGACTGATACTTTTACTTTACAGTTGGGAATGATTCAGGTCAGTTTAAGCTGTGAACTATATTTAAACAGTGTTTGTTGGAAAATTAACACTTCAATGAAAAGGAAACAAACGCAAGACCTGCAAGAGTGATGCGTTCAGGGCAGCCTCAGATAAAAGAGAGCTGTATTTCACGTAGTGCTGGACGATAATTCGATAACAATATATATCGATCGATAGACGTGTGGTGCGATAGAAAAAAAACGGGTCGATAAAAAGTTCGATAGAAAAACACAGTTTCCCTTTCTTTTTCATCATAGCCTATCATGTAGCTTTTACTACAGTCATTACTTCCTCCCAACCAATCACAAACGCAGACCCAGGTACGCTACGGCACCAAGCCCAGCCCCTCTCAAACCACAACAGACAGCACGTGTATTAGAAAAAATGTTACAGCAAGGAGAAGCGGAGGAAATTGTCCCGAAAAAAGGTTTCAGTAGTTCACCAGCATGGCAATATTTTGGTTTTTACAAGTCTGACAAAAAGCGAACAGTGGTCGTTTGCAAAATTTGCGAAGAATTAGTAAAAACCAAGTCTGCTAACACAACCAACTTGTTATACCATCTAAACCGATCGCACCCGCAGGAGTACGAGCTGTGTCGGCCGCGCCGCGGCTCCACGTCGTCGTCGGAGGAGGAATCCTCTGGAGCCGCTGCCAGCACCAGCACAAAGCAAGTGAAGCAGACCAAACTGGACTTCATTTCTCTCCAAAAATACGACAAAGTGTCCGAGCGGCATAAGGACATCACCCATGCAGTAACATGCTCCATAGCGAGGGACATACTGCCAATAACTACCGTTGAAAAGCCTGGCTTCGACCAGCTTCTAGCCACTCTCGACCCGCGATATGAAGTGCCCGGCGGCAAGTATTTCTCAAACACAGCGCTTCAGGCATGAAAATGGGTCAGGGGTTGAAAAAGTGAGAAGGGTGCGGAGGAAAAACGTTCCGGTGTTGTGCTGTAGAATGCACCCCTGCATCCCGTCCACTCATTAGCTTCTTTTAAGTGGAAGAAAATGAGCTCATATTTTACAAAGACGCGAGTATTTGGATCATGGCTACTAGCAGGGGGTGCAATCGGCGGGGGTGCATTCTACGACACAACACCGGCGTGGATAAGTCCTGCTTCTCGTGCTCAGTTTGCGTATTAAGTCAATCACATGATACTTAAAAATAAATAAATCTCCCGAGAAATATTTCAGTGTTCAGACACCAGGCTGTGGGCAGTTTCCCACACTGTTAAAACTGGTAGTATGCTATTCTCACCTAAAGCTATTCTGTTTATTTACATATTTGTTTGTTTTGTTTATTTTCATCAAAAGACTATTTAAATATTTATTTATCAGATTTTCTGGTCACTTTAGTCTTTATGTTTGTCAGTATGACGTCACTCAGGCCACTTAAGTTGATTTCTTTTTTTTTTAAGTTCTTTTTAAAAAAACTTTCAGTTGTGGTAAAAAAAAATAAAAAAAGGTGGTTGAATAAAGGTTTAAATTTGAATTCAGTGCTTGTGTGTTCTTTGTTAAAAGTAGGTCATTAAGCAATAGCGTAAAACATCCAGGGCTGCAATTAAAATATATGTTAAATAATTATAATAATTATATCGATAATTATCGATATCGATCAATATGATTTATTTTTTATCGATATGCTTTTTTTCTATATCGTCCAGGCCTAATTTCAGGCACAGATGTTCAGAGAGCCTTATACAGGAGAGCATGTAAAACATATCAATCAATCAATCAATCAATCAACTTTATTTCTATAGCACATTTAAAATAACCACAAGGGTAGCCAAAGTGCTGTACAATGACACATAAAAACAAATAACACAAAGAACAAGATAAAGCGAGCAGAAAAACATCAATGCAAGGGGATAAATAAGTAAATAAATAAGCAGGCTCACGGCAAGTGCTAAAATGATAAAAAACTAAATAACACTAAAAAGTATCAAAAGCCAAGGAGTAAAAGTGTGTTTTTAAAAGGGATATGAGGAATTACACACTAACATTAGTGGACTAAATGAGTTCAAGGCATATCAGTCCCATTACTTTTTTTTATTACCATTTGTTGTTGTTACAACAAAACAAAAAAGTGTGCAGCTTTACCTACACTTATTTGGATGAGCAATTTACTTACAAATACTCTCATAATTAGCTCATATCCACCATACGAGGTAACTCCAAAACTGCCCAGCGTGCGCCGCAAAAATCTACCAGATTTTATCACCCAAATGTTGGCAGGTATGCATATCATCTATATTTACATCATCTAATGTTTACATCTTAAAGAATCTTCATTATCTCTGAGGGGGAGATTTGTTTATTTTGGGTCTTTCGTACCTGCAAAACAATCAGGACCATAAACTAATTCACTGTATTACTTAGTATTTATCTACATTGGTTGTGCTGTTGAGTTAAAACTTTTATATTTTTTTAGTGCATCTTATTCAATTTGCTTTGTTATTTACTTTTGTATGTTAATAAAATGTTGAACTAATCTCTAGTTTCTTTAGCTTTTAGTACAAATGCTTTAAAACTGGCGGTTTAGAAAAAAATCATGACAATAATAGAAATCAGACGATATGACAAAATATATTGTGATCATTTTTTTTGCCAAATTGCCCAGGCCTAATGTGAATAATTAATGTGAAACAAATGCACACATCACGTTAGCATATTTACCGATTCCCCTCCTCCCTCTTTTCCCACACTACCCCCTTCTCTTTCCTTTACTCTTCACCAACCATAGAGCACTTTAGCAGATGGCTCTGGGTTCAACAACAACAGCAGGGGAACATGGTGGGGCCCTCCTGGAGAGCATACATAAACACCATGGACAGCATATGTTTGTGAATGGGCCAACAATGGCCCAACCCCCCGACAGCTACAGCTGACAAGGAGAGGAGAAAACTGAAGGATCAGGGTCAAGCAGCAAAAAAAAAAAAAAAAGAGCAACAGTGGACAACTCCATTTCATAACTCCTCATTAGAAGAATCCTCATTAGACAGTAACTTTTTTTTTTAACTTATTAGCAATTAATTTCCTCAATTTCAGGAGGTGGTACAAAATTTTTTGGGAAAAAAAAAAAACAATTGAGCCTTTCATGAAGCAAAGAGATCACTGAATTCCATGATTTCTGACAGATTTCTGTGACTGGCTCTTTAACTTCTAAACTGCGAAAGCCAAATATTTTATCATTTCATTATTTGCAAAGACAGAGGACAGATTAAGCCATAGATCCTAAAAATTGAAAGCCAGTTTTTGTTTTATTGCTTTGGTGATGTCTTGAGAGTCCTAATCACTGCAACAGCTTTATTTTCTATCAATCAAATGTCCAAACTTAAAATATGAACCAAGATTTCTTAATGACATAGTATAGACTGCAGAAAATAGATTTGTCGACTTTTCCACAGAATCCCATGTCATGGTAAAAGAAAAGCGGGGGCTTGTATGCAAATTTTCAAATTGCCAGGTAAGCGTGTGTTGTTGTAATTCTAGTAAATGGATTTAAACTGAAAAACACAGGATACCTCACTGAGCCTCTATGAGACTCTCTAAACTAATGAGGTCAGCGCAACAGGCCTTCTGAGGCCTGTTTATTATGAACTGATATGTGCAATGTTATACTATTTTGTATCCTTTAGTTTTTAATAATAAAGTGTAAAAACACTTTACCGCAAGGAAGGTCTGGCATTTACATATGACTCCTTTAAATCTATAATGTATAATTAAACAAGTATACTCTGGTTTAAGACCAAAAAGGTTGTATTTTTTATTTTAACTAGTGTGTTTTTCAACAAATTAGGAGTATTTAGGTTTTGAGGAGGTTTTAAGTTCCATAAATGCATGTGATGTAGATGTCTTTGCATGAACAATCATTTATAATTATCGCTATTTCAATAACAATCCAAACAAGCAGCCTGTAAAAGAATATTTCAATCAATTAAGCCTTAAAAAAAACTTGTTCTCAAGTGCTGTGTTTAAACTCACAGTTGTGATCTTATATTCAAAAATGTACTTGTGAGCTTCCTGTCCTCCAAGTCAAGTCATTTAAGGCAAGACTAAGTTGAATGCAACCTGCCAAACATCAATTAATCCATGAGTTTAATTTTCAGATGTGGTGCAGGTGTGGGTACCACCCCGTTAAATTTGAAAAACTTTTTTTTGCTTGGACATATCACTTTATTTTAAAAATCTACTCTATTTTCAAATGAGTGAGGGGAATTTTCCAAATTTTGAATCTCGAGTAATGTTGTATACATGCCTTTTTTCCCACCATTTCAGGTAGTCTGTCATTTTCTATCTGCTCAAGATAACCTGCTGCATTTAATAAAGCTTGTTGCACCCTACATATGAGAGATTCACTGGGTAGCACAAATTTTACTGCCACCCACTTGCCTTTTCTTCTCCTCTGCCTGCTGTCACACAAAGCTAAAAAACTTAAGAAATGGGAGGACTATATTTGAGTTCTTTAGGCGATAGAAATGAAGAGTTGAAGTCTTTGGACTTTTTGAATCTAAGACCCTGTAGGTGTGTTTTTCTCCTCTATGAGTGAGTCATACAGTGAAGCCTTTTAAATTTATAGGAGACGGGGTATTGATTGTGGGAGAAGCCTTTGGAAGTGTTTTACACAAACATTCCAGACAAACACCCAAATACAAAGGGAGAAACATGAACATCAAACAAAACACTCACATGACTCTGTCTGTGCCTGAGGAACAAAAGCCAGGGGGTAGCCACGTGGCTAATTTACATGTACAACATCACATCATTTGCATCAATTTGAATTAGCATGTTCTCACACAGGCCCCTCTCGGGGAAGCCATCACTCAATTAGTGAATGACAGCAACTGCCTTCTTTCACAAACAGCCTGACAACGAAGGCTTTTTGAAGCACTGCAAGATGTGACATTTCCTGCCCAGCTGCACTAAACCTGTTGTTCCAAACATCCCAGCTGAAAACAGGTCGGTTCATCTAGGGTCATACTAAATTCAGAAAGGCAACTTCAATTTTCCCAACTGTAAAAATTAGTTAAAGGGACAATTTAAGGTTTTCATTTTTTTTGTTTTTGTTTAAACAACCTCATGATAAAATTATACTAACTTAGCTGCAAGGTAGTAAAAAGCATGTCTGTTGTTTTAAGTGGAGAGTTTTTACATTACAAAACAAACAACTCTTTTGCAAACTCTGTAAAATGTAGATCAAGTACTGCTAAAATTGAAAAGCCATTCTTATGAGGGATGAGGTGTTATGCAACCTGTGACTGCAGAAAAAACGCAGGCCCACTCCAATTCAACTAATGATTTACAAATTTTACTTCTTAAACTTTAGTCATTATGTTGGACATATATAAGAAGTATGTTATATTTTGCAATAAGAAATACTCGACTCTCTCACAGTCCATAACGTCATATTCAATTATATTACTCACAGTGCTTGGCCAAAAACATGCTTGTTACTCTGCAAAGCAAAAAATTACCACCTCTTTTAGAATTACCTTAAGGTGGATGCTTTCTACCAAGGTCTGCACAGAGGATGGCATCAAATGCTCCATGTTCGCTTCTTTCTTGTTTCAGTCTCATGACCATCTGCAGGTGTGGCTTCACTGCTCACAGGGGCAATGGTCACTACATAATCCTTAACCAAAGCAGCTATGAATTTATAGCACTGCTGTACCGAATTCCAAATATAGTTCACTGTGCTTCGACTTCAACACCTCTTAAAACCTCATGAGAAAACTCTCGATATTTTTAGACAAGAATCAAATGAGTTTAGAGAACAATAATTTGGAGAATAGAGCTAGGCAACCAAGAGGGAAAGGGAAGCTAGACAGCTTGTGAATGTAACAAAATAAAGTGGAGTTGACAACAGTTACAAAAAATTACACACTTGTTTTACATTAGGTGCTGGTTTCAAGGTCACAAGAAACAAACTGGATATTTGAATATCCATGAGCAAGCTAAATGGTAAGTCTGTCTGTAGAAAGTGACTCACAGTTGAGTTTTGTTTGGCTCTTCTGCTCAGAAGCCCTTGAGTTATGCACAAACACAGATCCAGTTTTTGCCCTGAAGGATTTGATCCCCACTGGTGCCACAAATGTTATAAAAATATTACATTTACACCACTGTGGTTTGCTCTTTATAGAAATATCCACGAGACAGCACAAGGCTTCTTCCATGAATACAAAAGTGAAACCATTTTCCAAAAGCTATAAATTGAAACAGAGATGACTTAAAGTTCTGCTGTGGAGTTGGAAGCTTGCTATTTATGGAATCAAAATAAAGACTGAATCCAGATTTAAGAACTAAGTTCTTGCTTTTTATTTTTTACAGACAAATATAAAGCTGTGTTAAGTTGGAACTTGAATGTGTTGCTCACACTTTTGTGGGATTTGATCAATAATTATTTCAGTATGAAAATAAAAAAACAGAAGGAAGTGTTTTCTAGCTCTAACTTGACATAATTGAGTATTTTCAGTTCTTCCTTACATCATTTCCACACACACACACACACACAGCAAGAATTTATGTTCAAGCGCTTGGAAAATGTGACTCATTCACAATCAGAAATAAAGCACAATATGCAAAACTATGAAAACTAGTATTTTAAGACAATAATTCACAACCAAACTTTGTGGGAAGCACTGCACAAAAAATAGAGTCAAGCTGCAATAAAAATATGAAGGTGTACTATATCTCTTATCTGAGCAACATCCCCAAACAGCAAGCACTACTGAAGATGCACGGATGCATTGGCTTTCTATACAACAAACAGTCTAAACAGCAATTTTAGACTAAGCATAATATCAAGACTTAAGAGATTTAGGATTCAAAATCAGGTTAAAACCAGCCTTCAAAGTGAGCTGCCCACCAGTTTAGTCCATGGCTCTATTGTGTGCCTGCTTGTAGACCAACTGTATGGACACAGTGAGCTGCACAAAAACCTCTCCTCACACAAAACATCAGGACACTGGCTTGTCATTTAGCGATTTTAAAACAGCAAAGCTTACTCAGCACAATGCGGCCTGGACCAACCCAGACCCTCCAATTCAATTCAAACGGAACTGCATGTGCTTGCATAAGCAGCAGCTGCCCATCCCCTGACCCACACAACCCCCGCCTTTGGTAGAGCCATCATACAGGAGGTACATGCAGGTTGTGCAAACATCCGAATAAATGTGCCTGTGTGTCTAATGTTCAAATGCTGACCTGTTTAGATGCCTCTGCTTCTTTGGTGGCAACAGCTTCCAATTCCAAATCTCTGAAAGAGACAGAAAAAAAGTTTAATCTCCATAACTTCAGCACAACTGTGATAGCGCTTGCACGGTAAGAGGAAAGTATGACAACACAATAAGGCAATAATGATTTAAATGAATACACAGAGAAAGAGTGCATGTTTTATGCACACCTGTTTGTCAGTGTTTCGTTTAAAACCTTTTTTGCAACACATTTCTGAGGACTTCAAAGCATATAGTACAAAAAGCTTTTTGCGCCATTAAGTGTAAATGGGAGATTTGTGGGTTGCTGATGGTAAGCTTGAGCTTCATCTGTCTGCATCAGAAACGTGTATAAGCATGGCAATTACAGCTTTCACCCATTGTTGGAAATATCCACATACTAACTGGAAATGCACTGCTTTTTTTTGTTGAAAATTTTACTTACTCATTGCTATAAATTAAGTGAATTTCCCGTTGGGGACCAATAGAGTTCTTGTATAAATCAATGCAATGTTGCTTATGTTACTATAGAAAATAAAAGTAATAATTGTGTTTTTGATTGGCTACAAAACTCTACTGACATATCTTAAATGAACTGCTAATGGAGTAAATGACATTTACCTCACCCACAGGCAGGTTTACACAGACAAACAAAGAGACATTTAGGTAATTGTAGTAAGAAGGGTATGCCTATTAGTCCATGTTGAAATGCAGGTTGAACTGCATAACAGGGCAGTGCACGTAGAGCTGAGGCCCTACAAGGTGAATGGAGAATATGTGAGAATGACAGAGAGAGAGAGAGGGAGAGAGAGAGAGAGAGTGTGTGTGTGTGTGTGTGTGTGTGTGTGTCAGAGCTACTGCCTGGGTCCTGATCGGCCATTATCTCAGCTGTTGCCTGACTTACAGCTTTACCAACATGGCTTCTCTAGAGTCTGATATCTCCCCTATGCGTGTTAAGACAATAATTGGCCATAATGTTGCATTTTACTCGACATTAAGCAAGAATCTGGCTTGGCTAAGATCGCTGAACTGGCGTAGAAACGTTTGGTGAATATGGTTACAAAGCCAGTACAGCGGTGGGGTAGAGACTCTCTGACTTCTGCCGACAGAGGGGGTTAGAAGCTCCGACGACAAATACGTTTAAGTACGCTTTCAACTCATCACAAAACATAGATTTGAAGTAGGCTTCAATGCTACATTTAAAATGTTTGAGCACTTTTGAAAATTACCTTCCTTTCGACAAGTGGAAAAAGGCAAAACAGTGCGCCAAAGTCACCACCGAGAAACCTGCGTCGTCAAATTAGCATAGCTGCTAATGCTAGCTGAAAGCTACAATTCGACGCGGCTAAGTCATTTTACCCGGAATTTAAAACGTGGCAATTAAAGAGTTTGGGAGAGAAAGTGGTAAATAAAACCCATTCGTCATTGACACACAAAACTACCTGACCATCTTATCCAGCACTTATCTGAAACAGAATACTCGCATTTAACAGATAGATATGTACAACTGGCGAGCTAAGGTTAACCATTGCTCGTAATAGTTAGCATCCGCACAAGGTTAACCTGCCTATAAATACAAAGGGTTCACTTGCTTAACAAGACTTGAAACTTCATTCCCCTGCAGAAAACACACTATATTTCTTTATCTGTCGATGCGTTTGACATGTCCGCTACAAATCTGTAATGCAGCCGAGCTGGAGGCGAGCTCTGCCCGGTCGCCGCTAACTAAACAACAGCATCTGCTTAACTCGTCTCCACCAGTCGCGGTCTCTCCTGCTCGGGGCACTGTGTGCATTAGCTCGACGAAAACAAACAGTAGGGGTGAAAAATTAATATTAAAACACACATACCTCATTGAAGTATAAAGTGCAACAGAGTGGAAAGGAAAGCCGGCTGTAAGGCTAAAAGAATTTCAACGCGTTTGCAGCATCAACGGGGGGAGGCATCCGTCCTGCATGATCGCCATTTTCTTCACTCACTGCTGGCTAACCTTGTTTCGCTAAGCTCTGCTTTCCCCTCCTCTCTCTGCACTCACTTAAGCTCTGACTGTGTTTCTGAGAGGGGGAGTTTGTGTGTCTCTAAAGGGGGGAGACAGAGCAGGAAACACATTCACCGCTTCCTCTGAATCAGAACCAAACAGTAAAGATAGCTTAACTTCTTCGACAGATGAGTAAACGCAAATTTAGCCGAGCATGAAAACCCTGAACAAAGTAACGAAGTCTCATAAATCAATAAAACCATGACCGAAATCACTTCCATCATCTGACTTAAATGTATGGGAATTGTTCATACATTCAAATAAACTAAACAGTTATGACCATATGATGTATTACTATTGACAAAAACTGTGTGAGGAATCCCCATAGTATTAAAACAACAGGAAAAAAATGTTCTGCATTTTCAGGATCAAGATAAGCCCTTACACTGGCCAAAGTATCAGAAGTTTATATGCTCAACTACACACCTGAACTATACAATCAAATAATTGCAAGGCTTAGAAAAATACTAGTTTCTAATTGGTAAATACTCCATAGCCACGGGCTGTTATTTTTTGGTAGCCCTCAAAGGACCCTGTCATTAGCTGAGACTTTGAACACAGACTTTGCTGAATTAATTCAAGTCCAGCCCATTTTATGTTTTGGGGTTTTTTTCAACATTGCTGGGCAACCAAAAAAAGAAATTAAAACAGCAAAGAAGTTCAAACGATAGAAGTCACTCAAATCTTAGGCCATGAAAAAGAAATCAATTGGAGATGACATAAGGTTAACAATTCATGGGGAATGGTATAGAAAAGGGCAGTGTCTCAGGACTGATACATGGAAGGATTACTTAAGGGTCAGACAAGACAGCCCAATTTTGAGTTGGATTCTGACTCAACCTGTTGTGGTCTCCATCAGCAAGCACCATGCACTGCACTGTTGTATTATAAATCTACTTTATACATACATGTTTGTATTGTTTATTCAACATACTTTTAATTTAACTTTTCAAACCATGTTTAACCATTATGTTAAAAAAGCAAAGAAAAACTGGGTCTAAAAATAGAGCCAATTGGATATCCCACATTTTATTAATGTTACCTCTGCCATCTATTTGAAACATCACTCTGAACAGTTTTAGATTGTTATACTTATTACAATTGCAATCATCTATAAAAACAAACGAAAGATTACTGCAATTCAAAGTCAGAAAGGCACAAAACTATTGTTAAATGGCTATACTCTCATTTCAGTGCCTCTCCAATACTTCCATAGGTGTGTCACCAAAGCATAATTTTTGGCAGTAATGTAAGGAAACAAAGTTCTGTGAAATAGAAAAAGAGACAAAGAGAAGAGAGGAGGGACATGACTTAACAGCAGAGAAACAAATACAGAGAGGAATCTGCCAACTGCGACATTTCACCAACCAGACAAAGGTTGTTCCTGCTTACAAGAGAGACTGGCAATATGTGTGTGTGCAGAGCGTTGACCATTGAACTGTCTCTAGCAAAAACAACCCCCATCTCCCTGCACAAATTATCTCCCTTATCTCTGTGTATTTGACTTTGAGGGAGAGGAAAAGAGGTGTAGAATTCATCTACTTTAGGCAATGATTTTATTTGATCAGGTATCAAAAAAGGGAGCCTTTTTTCCCACAATCTATAAACAAGTGAGTAACCTCTCAATGCAGGGGCACTGCTGCCAAATACTTTTCAAGTCTGTGCTTCCTACAGGGTTTCTTATTCTGATGACTAGTATAGAAAAATTATTTTATTTTCCCACCTGGGGGAAAAATTGACATGAGCCAAAAGTTCCCTAAAGCAGTTTTAAGTAATAATAAAAACAATAATGCATACAATTTTATATAGTGCTTTATCAGTGACCCTCAAAGCGCTTTACAATGGATACATAATACATTCACTCACACAATCACACCCTGGTGGTGGTACACTGCCTTAGTAGTTACAGCTGCCCTGGGGCTGACTGCCCAAGGAAAACAAAAGACAGACTAGGGATAGGGAGAAATCAAAACCACTAACCCACCAGGTAAATGATGTTAGCCAATATGGAGTCCAACAGCCAAGAGCAATCGCATCAACAATTAAAGAAGTATTAATGGCTTAGTTGCTCTCAGCTAAATGCAGCAAGCTACATGCTTATTAAGTAGAACTGTAAACCAAATGCTAATGTGATCATGCTTCTCTATTTACAATTTGTTTCACCTGCTGCCTAGAAGTAAGAATAAGAAGAACTTTATTCATTCCTGAAGGGAAATTCAATTGTCTGTTGTCTCACTTCACATGTCTCTCAAAGTTATCTACTATTTACACAAGAGTTATAAAGTCTGATGGCTGTTGGTACAAAAGATCTTATGAATCTTTCTGTCCTGCAGCGAAGAGAGAGGAGCCGTCCAGCACCATTGGCCACTTGGTCCATCAAGGTGTTGTGAAGTGGGTGATCCATGTTCTTTAGAATAGTCTCCACCTTCCTCAGTGTAGACAGTATGAGAGTAGGTATGTATGACAGTATGACAGTAGTACAGTAGGCAGACAGCTAACTGATTAGTTGAAAAGGTAATGTCATGTAACTCGACCACCATCTCCATTATTTCAAAGATCATAAAAGATTTCAAGTTACTCTTCTTGTGGGTGATCTTGATTTTATCTTTGGTCATAAAAAACAAAAACATTTATATCAGTCTGTTTTAAAATCTGAGAAAAACTCCTTACTGGAGTTATAAGGTAGCATGCTAACAAGGGCTGAATAGAATTGAACACAAATAACACTGAAGTTCAATGGAACAGCTGTGTTTATAGGAGTATTTCATCTTATTATTTATAATTTTATCTTATTAAAGCTGTTGTGGGATACTTATAGATGCATCATTTTGGCATCCCCTGAGGACAAACTGTTTTCTTATTTCATCCTTTTTATGTTTTTTAAGGATCTTCTGACCAAAAATCAAACTGAATGTTTTATATCTTGCAAATAATATGTCAGAAATGTAAAAGAGGGCTGTTTCTTCTGCTGCTTGGCTGAAGTCTAACCCCTTACTCCAGTTTCAGGCATAAAATATTCCATGTTGTCACTGATGGTCCTCCTTTCTTTTGTTTATCATTTGTATATCTTTCTTTAGTAAAACTGCCTCTTACTGCAGATCCTGTAATTCAGCTGCATTGATTGATTGCAAAGAAAGAAGGGGACACTAAAGGATGTACTGACATGAGCACAGATAGTAATGGGCATTTTGACACATTAAAGCGAATAAACCACAGATCTAAAACACCTGCCAGGCTGTAACAACATGTTTCAGAGAGGATAAAATGAAGTTCTGAGTGAGCAGTATGGTTCTTTTAGTGATGAATGAAACTATATCACAAAATGTTGAAAATTTAAGAAGGAAGTTACAATGTAAAACAGGCCTAAGAGCTTAGTTGGATCATACATCAGAAAATACTGTGTCAAGTACACATAATATCGAGTCAGGTCTGCTTCCTATTTACATGCCTTTCGCGTCTAAGAAATACTGCAGACTGCAATCATGACCTGCACCTTTAGGTCATGTGTAAATATGTACAGCACAATAATTTTTCTGGATATTAGGTTTGCATGTTTATGTATAGGGTGCATGTGTATTGGGGTAGTTATATACATTGACAAAGTAGGCATGAGGGGGTAGAGGCAGACATACATATACCCATATACCCCTCTCCAACGAATAATACTCTTCACGATTGTACTTTTGTGTGTGTGTGTGTATACATACATATATATATATACATATATATATATATATATATATATATATATATATATATGTGTGTGTGTGTATATATATATATATATATATATATATATATGTGTGTGTGTGTTTATATATATATATATATATATATATACACACGATATTGGCACATTTATGTAATATCTGTTCATATCGGCATCGATAATAAAAACCGATCATTGAAAGCCCGGGTTTTGCCTGTCCTTAAATGCTTGTGGGGTCCTGAGACCGGCACCGTGTGCGCTTAATGACCTCATCAAGCCGTGCCTGGAAGCAAATCAGCGGCAACAACAGCATGTGGCTGGTGGATAAGAGCCTGCTCGCTCGTCGCTCGAAAATGTCTGCGGTCTGGAATTTTTTCAAAGTTTTACCGGTAGATAAAAGGTATGCCGTTTGTAAAAACTGCGAGGCACTTATCATGTGAGGGGGGAATAAGACTTCGTCTTACAACACTTCGAATCAGAAACTCACATCAGAAACAAGCACCCCCAGGCACACAATGTGTTTTGTGCAGCAAACGAAAGAGAAAACCCAAGGAAAGGAGGACGCTATGAAAAAAACAACCTAACTCTCACTAAAAGAGTAAGGGGAAAGAAAAAATAAATACAGTAAGGAACACCCTTGACAAAAAGCTATCACACAGAAAATCATGCAGTGCATCGCCCTGGACAACCAGCCTTTTACAATAGTGCAAGACAGGGGATTCAGCGAAGTAGTCTAGTTCCTTGAGCCACGATTTTCCATGCCGACTCGGAAGTATTTATCAGATGTTTGCCTCCCCGAATTGTACAGTGCTGTTCATGGACGAGTCGAGAAGCTAATTTCAGATGCTGTTGCAATTAGTTTCTCAACAGACATTTGGTCTTCCAGCATTAGCCAGGTCAGCATGCCGTGCTTAACCGCACAATGGTTAGATACAGACTTTGCTCTTAACAAGGCTGTGCTTCACTCTCAGGAGTGTCATTGATCTCACACGGCGCAGGCAATCGTGTGTGCTTTTGAAAAGATGTTTGAAAGGTGGAAAATCCCAAAGGAAAGGGTGCATGTAGTTGTAAGGGACAACGCACGAAACATGGCCAAAGCCAGGACGGAGTTTGGTGTACCAAGCCTGCCCTGTATGGCCCACACCCTGCAGCTGGCAGTGAACGGAGGTGCTCTGTCTCAGTGCAAAATAGCAGATGCTCTGGCTGTGGGGAGGCGAGTGATAGGTCATTTTAAACGCTCGCTACTTGCTTGCAGTCATTTAGAAAACATTCAAAAAGAACTCAACATGCTAGTGCAAAAGTTGCAACAGGATGTGTCCACAAGGTGGAATTCCATGTACTACATGATGCAAAGCCTGGTGGAGCAGAGGAGGGCATTGAATGTGTATGCTGCTGATTTTGAACTCCCTGCAACATTAAATGGAAGTCACTGGGGGATTTTTGAGAGGTGATCAACCCTCTGGAGCCCTTTGAACAGCTAATCAAAGACATCAGCTCTGCAGAGGCAACTGCTGCAGATGTCATTCCTGCTGTGATGTCCCTTACACGGCTGCTGGCCAGGGTGGATGAATCTGAAAATGGTGTGCAAACAGCCAAACGCAGCTTGCTGGAAGCTGTCTGCAGTCGCTTTAATGGTGTGCAAGATGAACTATTGTATGCCATTGCAACAATGGTTGATGCTCGATACAAAGATCATTACTTTAACTCTGATAAGAAGGGAGAAGAACTGAATATGCTGCTGAACGTTGTGGATGAAATGGCTGGAGGAGGTAGTGAGTCTGACCATGAGGAGAAGGCTGCTGGTGCCAGTGGAGGTGACCCAAGCCAGAAGGATGAGAGCCCACCACCAAAGAAGGCAAGAAATGAAAGCCTGCAGGACATGTACAAAAAAATCCTTGCAGAGAATGATAACATCAAACAAGCAGCTACTGGTGAAACAGCTTTGCAGGTTAGTAAATAATAAACATATGAACAAACCATTTTCATTCACTGATTGTATACATAAAATGAAAATAAAAACACAGTTGTCAGTGCTCTGAAGAAAAAGTAATAAAATTCCATTTTTGTGTTTACATTTTCTTTAGGTGCATGCATTCTTGGGAGAGGTCACCATCCTCAAGAAAGAATGCCCTTTGAACTACTGGAAGAGCAACCAGACCCGCTTTCCTGCTCTTGCCAATGTTGCACGCAAGTACCTCACGGCACCCTGCACCAGTGTAGACAGCGAACGGCTGTTCAGTGCTGTCTCACATGTCATAGATGAGAAGAGGAATCGTATACATTGTGACAATGCTGAAATGCTTATTTTTATTCAGAAAAATCCCCCTCTCACACATCAGTACAAAGACCAGAAGTAGAGCAGTCCACACCAAACAAGCCAGCATTGGTCTTTCAGCCTCATTTGTTGCACTTTAAGAAAGGGTTATATTTACTTTTTTTAGTTTAAGCTGTTTTTATTATGTTGCCTTTTTTACATTTTTTACTCATATTGTAGAGAGGGCCGAATGAGCCCAGTTTATGATTTCAATGATTGTTCTAGCCAAGTTATGGACAGTTACATAGGCCCATCTTTCATTATCATTTAGGCCTATTGGACTTTGACAAATGGAGAACTTTCTTTACTAATCTCAAAAGTCTGGACTGAACTTTGTGCCTTTATTTTTTTTATTTTGCACACAACATTAATATAGCAGGTTTTGCTTTTGCAAATGTTTTGCAGGGCTTATTTAGCCTAGTTTATATTTGATTAAGTACTGTATTAGCCCAAGTAATGGGCTAAGGACTGAGTGTTCTTTATCTGTGCACTCTTGTTTGCATTGTGCGCACTTTACCTCAGAATATTTTACTGTACCTTAAAGAGTTGAGCAGCAGTTTCAATGTAGCAAGTTGTCCTACACTAAACATTATTGGTCAACTGAAAGCTTTAAAAAGTGTGCGTGATCCAGTCTGTAAGAAAAGGAATGTTAAAAATAAATATGGCTTTTCTATAAGTTGAAGTAGTGTCTTAATTTTATATGCATCTAACAGAGCACCATGATAAAAGTAGGTAATGTATTAATTCCACAACAGGAGATATATTATGTGACCTAAATTAGTTTTGGGGAAAAAAAAACCCTCTTACTGTATATCTGTATCGGTTTATATTGGAATCGAAAATAAAGTGTTCGGACAATATCGGCACATTGGATATCGGCAAAAAGTCAATATCAGACATATTATCAGATATCTGATATATATATATATATATATATATATATATATATATATATATATATATATATATATATATGTATATACAAATTTTTTCACTGTGGGCTGGAGAGAAAGTTTTTTTTCTTATTCCTGTGTATGTACTCTCAAACTGCAGTAATTTACAATTAAAAGTATAATAATTAAATAAATAAAACTAGCAGTGGATTAAAATGGTGGGTTGAAACAAAGTAGAAAGTTCCAGAAACAGCCAGCATACAAACATGATAGCATCAAGACAGAATGATAGGACAGTACAATAGATTCAAAGGGCTTTTCTACACAGGGAGCAGGTCAGAAATATTTGTAAAATGGAGAATTTTGAACCTGATATTGAAATTTGATAATTTAGTGTTGAAACTCAAAATTGATTGAGTAAACACCTAGAAAGTGGGTGATTGGTGCTTTTTCAACTCAGTGACTGATGGTTCTACCACAGCTTCACAACTGTAAATGTGCATGAATAGATTCACCAGGAGAAATGCTGTGCACCAAAGCCAGAGTGTTTTGTAATAGTCTTTAACATGCCAGTCACCTTGACAGGCAGAACAGTGTGCACATGCAGGCCAAGGTTTAATCATTCACACACAAACGCAGGCATGCACAGCGACACACACACACACACACACACACACACACACACACACACACACACACACACACACACACACACACACACACACACTGATGCATCAAAGTTCAAATGCAGTAGACTCTTGAGCAAACAAATGCAAACAGATACAGGTTTTTGTTGTTTTTATGTTACTTTTCATTGAGCTTGCAATCTATTGAATGCATAAAAATGCACACAGACATCCTAATCCGTACACATCAGTGTCAGCTGCAGCAGTTAAGGACTGTCCAAAAATTAGCAAAGTCTATGGTAGCAGAGCGAGTAAAACGAGCAGAGACAATGGGACTGAAATGTGAATGTGCTGGAAAAAAAACAGCTGGTGAAAGGAGAGAGAGGTAATGTGGAGAAGAGTGACAGGTAGATGGACAAACAGGCAAACAGACACACACACTGACTTTGCGACAGAGGGAGGCTAGGAAAGAGATTTGCATGTCAACCAGTAATAGGCTTGTCCTGAGAACACCGCTAAGCTGCAGCTCAGTCCAGGTGCAAGTGGTGCATTGTGTCTCCTGGTGGTGGCAGCCTCAATGAGCTGGTGCACTCATCACAACAACATGTCTGCTCTCCTTTCATCCTGTTCATAACACTTACCAGAATACAGATCATGCTATATTCATGCAAAATATATTTGTTTATGTAAGTGTCACTCTTCCTCATTCATCACTTGCTAAAACTGCCTCCTTTGGCAAATCTTCATCTATCAAACTGACCGAAATTTACCTCATTTCTCCCCTGGAGATAAATAACGTATTCTGATTCAGATACCACCTCAACACCGTCATTTTTTTTCTTCTGCATCCCCAACCTCAGTATTTTACCCCTGCCTAAAACCTCCTCCATCACTTTATATCTGCACCAACACACAGTTACACTGTACAGGTTAAGCCACAAAAACACACAATGCTCTTTTATTCTTCTTTACATTTTTTTTTACTCTCTGTGCTTTACATAGGGCCCAAGTACTGAAGCAGGGCCAGGAGGACATAAATGAATTCCAGTGATTTACTATTGTCATTATTCTATGTGATTCATTACAATTTTTAGGGCCTAAATATGCTTATGAAGTCCTGAAACATGGCATGTTCATCAGGCTTGGCAAAGATTCAAACTTAGTATTGGTTCACAGTGTACGTGTGGCAAGTAAGATCACTAGGACCCTTGGCAGTTTTAAAAAATCATGCCCCTCTAATCAGTTACACCTAAAAAATAACTTTCATGCACATATCCAGCTTCCTGAGACTTATTTTATTTAATTATTTTTTTGCTTTAATTAATAGTACACTATGTCATTTATTTTAGACGTGAGGCTGCCTCTTGACACAGAGTACTATGAAACAAGAGCACAACACTCCATTGACCTGTGAAACAAATCTCACAATGACTCTCTACTAACATTTTACTGTTAGCTTGCTAAGCCACCGAGGCCTCCTCTTCTCCAAACAAAACTGGCTAGCTAAGCTATTAGCTAAATTTTCACATACTTGGCTAATTAAAAGGATAAAATACTTTTTCCTTGTTACAGGATATATTCAATTGACTGTGGTTTGAATCAAAACTTTAAAAGGCGTGATCTGCAAGTTTTCTCGTTTTTGAAGACTGATTTGTTGAATAAAACATGAGGCCAGCATAAAGAAGTGTGGTGCTTAAGTGATAAAAATTTTAAAGTATGGTTAAGCTTTGTTTTGGACAGCCTAAACTTTCTTCTACTTTTCTGTTTTTCTTTAAATGAATTTGTTAAGCTAAACTTTCACCTGAACCATACCTGAACATTTATCTTCTTTAACTTACATTCAACACATCAGCATAGCACAAAACCAAGCTGGATACCAATCTAATCCATCAAATGTTTTCCTTGTTATTTTTTTCTTTTCTCTTGGCACACTGATGATCCTGATTTACTCTTGCAGACTCTGCTTTGCATACATATCCCACACAAATACAGGGTTTCTGTGCTTCACAGACAGGTGATATTTCTCTATTTCCATAAGACCTTCCCTTTTATGTCCCAATAATCCATCACGAGGGCTTGAATATGCAGATAGTCTTGATAAGTGTGCTGGGTGACAGTATAACATATTCAAATATCCCCCTTTATTCAATTGACTCTCATTTATATTCCTATCACTCATCCTGTTCTGGCCTTTATCCTCTGTTCACAAGCACATGCAGATTACTGGTCACAGGGTACAGGGATTGGCTGGTTTTATTCATTCATCCCTGTTGTACATATTTCGCAATGCAGAGTAAGGTGACTCTAGGCTATGGAGAAAATAATGATGTACACAGCACCACATTGAATCACATGGACGAAATTCTTAAAATGATCACCCAACAATGTGTAACAATCAGTCAGTGAATGTCGTGAAAACAGCCCCAGAAACCCATTGCTGTTCAAAGATTTGAGTGCATGTATTTCTGATGGTAAATGTACTAAAAGAAAAGATAGGATGGCCTGAAAAAAGAATGTCCTTTTTGCTCTGTTAACCATGTTATAAGTTTAGTATTAGAAACACCATGTATAGCTTAATTCTGGACTTTTTATCATTTATTTGGTCCAGTGGTCTTCAAATTGGTCAAAACCAGACCTCAGCTTTTTGATAGCCTCAAAAAGGGTCTGATTTCAGAAAAGACACTTTAGCAAGTACATTTAAAGAAAAAGAATACATTATTTTCAAAGATTTCACATACATTTGACAATTTGGCTCTGTTTTGAGATCATCCTGCCCATTGACAGGCTTTATCCAAATACTGGGGAGCCAAGGCAGGGAGAGCAGCAGCAAAAGCCCCTGGAGCAGAACTGGCAGGCAACAGTCCGAATAGTAACATGTTGCTCTTGTACTAGGGCAAATAGTGCTGTTGGAGATTTTTTTTTTTCATGTATATGGCTTGTGCACACTCTGTTTTTTTGCAAAGTTGTGCTTTGAGCAGCAAGTTGAATTAAACAAATGCTGGGTAGGAAACAACCCTGAAAGACCAAGACAAGATTTAAAAAAGGTAAAACTTTACTTTTGCACAAACAAAATGGTGCAGAGCTGTGAAAGTGACAGTGTTTTAATTTTTTTGATGTATATCCCATT